TAATGCAGCTTATCACCCGAAGAACTTGGAAGCAGCATTCCTGCTTTGGGACGGTACAAGAATCTTTCTGCAGCAGCTGCATGTTAGAAGAAATGATCACACACTCTTCTATCCGGAAGAAAAGATCAAAAACATTTTTTTAGGTTTTTTTTCTTTCTGAAAACTCGGCTTACAGAATTCGGATTTCGTCGCTTCGTTTGCGTTATCGATGGACGTCCTGCAAACAGAGAGCATAACGACTTTCGATTTCTTCCGGTGTTCTTGATCCTCCCAGGCTGTCTGTTTCAGAGCCTTGAAGCTACTGCTCCGAGGTTCATCCGTAACTTTGTTCCTCTTTATGCTGACTTCGTTCTTGCTCGAGAATGTCTCGGTTTTACATCCCTCGATTTTCACGTAACTCTCGTAGAATTCCTCGTACTGAACCATCTGCCCGTTTGAGATTTGTCCGAAAGCATCTAGAAAGAACAATGACATTACACAAACACAGCATGTTTCAGTTTCAGACAAGAATCACAACCATTTGAGGTGTACAAGCCTGTTATTGTTTTACCTTCGAAAACCCCACTAGATCCGTCATCTGAATCAGAATCGATGTAACTGAAGGAATCGAACCAAGCTTCTTCGTGCGAGATTCCTGCAGTAGAAGAAGAAGAAGAAGAAGAAGAGCAGAAACCTTTGATCATTCAATAACAGAGAAATGGATTCACCAGTTTGGAAAGGAAGTGGATATCATTTTTTTTTTACCGTTCCCGTCGATCTGGCTGTGGTTCCATTGGAGCTGAGTTAAACGGAAGTTAACGTTGGACACCTCGGCTCTCTTGCACACGGTGGCTGCACCTTTCTCGAAGTCGAGGTGAACATACTCGCTCATGGCGAAATCCCTCACCCCACCATTGCTGAGCCTCTTGATGGGGACTTCTGGCATTGAAGCAGAGATTTTCGATCTGCTCTTTCCGGATCTTCCACGCCTCTGCTTCTTCTGAAACTCGTTACCGAGTTTTCTGTGCGAAGATACACACCCACCCATCTTCGAATTCTCCCGGAATCCAAACGTCGGAGAGATCAAATCCGTTTACGGAACCTCGAGGACCTGTTGGAGATGAAAGAAGACAGAAAATGTTCAGATTGGTATCAATGATACGCTTAAGACGTCTATTCACCTGCAGGAACTTATATATCCATTAGGTTTTGCATCAAGATTTACACGTTTGAATTGGGTTGTTGATTCATGAATCTGCAGAAAATCTGTAAGAAACCTCGTCAAGAACATGGAAACAACAGCTTCTTATTTCATGCATGCCTGAGAGATTGAAAACGATGAATCTAACGTAAACTAAACTGATTGTAAATCAAGCAATGCAGCTGTCAACATCGCCCAACAAATGGCAGAATCTGAATAACAGGCGAGAAATGTACATAACCCATCGAAGGAAAACCATGGATTTGGATTTACCCACGAAAGAAAAACTTAAACTTTTTTCAAACCCATGAAACAAAAGAGGAATCTTTACAGAACCCACGAGATAAATTGCATTAGAATCGAAACTCCGAGGGAAAACAGAGGGACTCGGAAAACCCATGTTAGAATGCCGGAAAATTTACAGGATTGAAGCAGGAAAATGGGAGGAAAGGACTAACCGAGAGAAGAGGGAAGAGGAAGAGGTGTCAATAGGCATTGAACGTTCCTTCACGACAGGAACATGGATCCCCCCTCTGACATCTCTTCTCTGCCTCTCTTTCTCCTCTGTCTTCTGGGATCAACAGAATCTCTCTAGGGGAGAAAAAAAACTGATTTCTTAAAAGGAAAAAAAAAATTTCAAGAACCACAGCAGAGCTCCTGAGCAACCCGTTTTCTACGGATCCTCTCTCAAGTCTTTGTCCCGTTTAAATCTCTCTCTCTCTCTCTCTCTCTCTCTCTCTCTCTCTCTCTCTCTCTCTCTGTTTCTTTTCTTTTTTGGATTTGTTTTCCTTGAGTTTTGGCATTTTCAAAATGAGCTAATTATATGGCATTAAAGGATCTGTCTTTTGATTAAACCCAGGAATGGTAAAATAAATGGTTTTATTACATAACATAACTGCGCAGTTACTCCCGGCGCTGTTCCCCTTCTCGGAGCACGTGTCGCCATTTATGGAGAAAAACAACCTTTAAATGAACTTATCCTCTTTTTAATACTCTGTCTTAATTACTGATGAGAGATGATATCATTGAAATTAAATCCACAATTTTCATAGAGATACTCAAAAAAAAAAAAAATTCTGATTAAAAACACCACCATTTGTGTTCATTAAATGGTTTTTTTTTTTTACATGAGAAATTTATAATTTCTTCTCATCAAACACTAATAGTGTGTGTTTTTTTTATAATTCGAAAATTAAACGGATTTTTGACCTAGCACAGGAAAAGTCCTCTAAATCCAAAATAAAAATATGCTTTGCATATTCTTTTATCAGTCGGCCATTGGTTAGTATGCATTTCATTTTATAAAGTAAAGTGTAAATTCATTGAATTTGGTTTCATAATTATTGATGTAATTATTCTGGGTTATAAAAATCACATTCATGTTATATAACATTTGTTTTAATGGAAATAGAAGTAAGTGAACATCCATCTTTTTAAAGAGGTCCATATGCTTAATTTTGAAGTTGCATTTATTGCCCATCCATGTTACATATATAGAGATCATAAAGAGGTCATAAAATCCTCATGCCCAATTTGCTTTTAGGATATTTTTATATATATATATATATATATATATATATATATATATAATTATAACTTTACGATCTATATATTTAATTTTGAATTGCTAAAAATACATCTATTTTGATTCTTTTTCTGTTTTCAAAGTTAATTTGGTATTTTAAAAAAATTAAAATTTTGTTTTCTAGTGCACTTTGCAGATGAGGAAACCATTACACATTAATTTATAGCTTAAGATACAACTATTATATATCTATGGATAACATCTTTCAGTATAGACTGGTTTTGTAAATATCATTTCAATATATTTCACTCATTTGAGGAAAAAAATGGTTTTATCTGTTATTATGCTATCCATTTTATGTGGACATTAGGATTTGAAATTTTAATTATAGTTTGGTAGTCCAGTTAATTTGATGTTAATCCTAATAATTTTCAACCCCAGAAACATAAATTTGAAAAAATGAGAAAATAAATAATCATTGTTAATTTAATCATATCGCCATTTTTTTTTTCAGAAAAAATATTTTTTTTATTATCATTTTATTTTATTTTGATGCTTTTCTGGTTGAAGCTTCGAAAGGAAAAAGCCGATTCTAATGGTTAGTGGAACAAAACCTATTTTATTTAAATTCGATTATAAAACTAGTTAATTAGTTTCAACCAAAAAAATTATTAAAAATAAATGAATATCTTGTTAATTGTTTTTAGAGCTGCCTAACCTATATATATATATATATATATATATAAAATCTGCTTGGTATACATTTTTATCATTTTGTTGTAATCAGTTATTTAGTTTTTTTTTATATATAAAGTGGTCTTTAACTGAAAATCAAAGATTTTTCCTAAGTTGTAACCTAAATAAGTAAAATATACTATGTGCACAATAATGCATATTAACAATCAATTTATAAATGTGTATTCATAAATTAAACATATGTTTAAACCAATATGGACTGTATATTTTGCGGCTAATATAATAATAATATATTTATGTTTGCCAAAAAAAAAGTGTCATAAAGAGAATTGATATTAAAAGTATATAAAGAGAATATAATTTTAGATGGTTCAATGAATTCTTTATGCATCAATGAATTTGTAATATTTGTAATTTTAAAATGAGAGATTCATATATATATATATATATATATATATATATATATATATAGATGATGAATAAATTATGGGATTAAAACATACACAACCACCATAAAGTCTATTATATATTTTATATATGTACACACCAAACCGTATATACATACATGTACGCAGTGTATCCGTATATTTCTAGTTTCCTTTTTCTCATCCAAAAGATACAAAATTAGGTACAAGAGATAAAGTTCGGTTGCACTTTTTCCATTTTTTCTAAACAAACGAAGTTCCATTCTAATCATTTGCACAAAATCAAATATATATATATATATATATATAATGGAAAAAGATGCCATAGGTTTATACACACACACACATATATATATACGTGTACGTGTCATACATATTGATATTGATGCATATCCAGTCAGGTCAGACGTTTACCCCAAAAATAAAACTCCTCTTTGACAATTTCTTTTGGTGGGTAAGAAATCAGGGCACAAAATATTTTAGGTAAATTACAAATAAATATGAACATTTTATAGATTTACTGTATACATAAACACACACACACACATATATATATATATATATATGCATGTACATCTAAATATATAAATTAATATTTCTGATTTTATTAATGCCACGATGAGAGGGAGACATTGCAATCTACCAATTTTAAAATCATCAAAGTTGGTTCAATATTTCATTTGATATTTCAGGAGTGGGTATTGAAATTTGGGGGGGGGGTATTCAAAAGTTTCTATAAATCGAATCCATACAATAACCAATTGAAATTTTTTATAGCGACATGAAAAAATTTCCAAGATTTAGGGAATTTGCAAATTTTTGATTTTTTTTTTAACATTATGGAGATTGAAATTCGTATTATATGATTCTCCGCTGCAACTTCAACAGTTTCAAAACATGGACTAGACATGTCCTTCGGGTGCAAGGATACATAAAGAAGACAAAAAATCCGAACCACTTTGTGATTAATGCTTTACAATTAAAATTAATTTTCCAATTTCGATATTTTATTATTATTTTATTATATGTTGGAAAACGTCATACTAATTAATGAATTAATTATAGCTAGAATAAAGTTTTGCTTAAATGTATTGTCTCCCACTATCTGAAGGGGCAACCACTTCAACAACACCAAACCAAAAGGAACCCATCGAAATGTTAAGGAAATTTAATTATAAAAAATAATTATTTCAGCTGTATATTTTACAATTTAATATTTTATTTTTGGGGTATATTCTTCTACTTATTGACAACCATAATAAATGCCTCCTGAATTCAATGGGGGGTTTTAGATTTGGTCAATCATAAAAATAAAGGGACCCACCATGCATGTCATTGGGATCCGTAGTGTTGTTTTTAACTTTGATATAATAGTTAGCTTGGTAACCATAATTTATTTTCCGAGTATTTAATTCCACCTTATCGTATTTGTTTTTTTGTTTCAATGTCCCACAGTAAAATTAAGTTTGATACTATGGATTTTTGGATTCAATGTATTTTTATTATATGTAGAGTTGGATATTTTATTTTGAAAAATATTGTATCACTTTACATATTAATTTTTTTAAAAAAACTTGGTAAAAGGTATATTTTTTAAAAAATATGTTTTTGTTTTGTTTTTATTTTATAGTATTTAATTTAGATATGATACATTTATTTATTATTTAGTTTGATGTTTTATATGTGAACGAAATTGTGAATCATTTAACAATTTTCATACGAATTTTGTTGATAGTTTTTGTACCATTGGGGTTATCTTTTTCAATGTGGGACAAAAATTTCATACAAAATTTTCTGATGTAATTGGTGGGCTAAGTTGGAAATTTGGGCTTTTATACACATTTTCTCACTTTGGGGTTATAATGTTTTTTTATGGCAAAGAATGTAGGCCCAAGTTAATGTGGCATCATTTCTACAATCCTTGGAAGTAAATTTTTTTTTTTACTAAGTGAGAATCCGCAGCTGCGACTTGTAATAACCTATGAAGTAAACCAATCTAAATTGTCTACACTTGACAGATTCACAATTGAAGAGGTTAAAAAGGTTCGAACAAAAAGACCTCGTACTCAACCAAACCTCTAAACCTAGAGGTTTCCTTCTTGGAAGTAATTAGAAAGAAACCATTTGTAATATATATATATATATATATAAAAGCAAGATACAATTACAAATGATAAAACTCATTACAACAAATAATACATCCTTAATTTCTTATTAAAGATATGTACTTATTCCGAGGGATGTGGGTTTCAGAATTCGGTTAAAAATTTTAACGATTCGATTCGAAAACGGTTTATTCGGTATTCTAAAATCTGTACCAAATTAATACCGTATATTATTCGGTTCGCTTTCGATTTCAGTACGATTCGGTGTCGGTATTTATTAAAAAAAATAGATTTTTAAGAAAATTTTAGTTTTTTGGAAATTTTATAAAGTTCAGTCCGGTTTCGAAAAAATTTGGTTTTATAAAAATCATACTGTTCAAAAATTTTGAACGGTTCGGTATGACCGAACCGAAAAGCCCACCCCTGCTTATTCCCCCTTTAGCCCAAACCTGATCCTACCTTCCAAGGCATACACATGCACCAAACATATGTATACACATATATATATATATATATACTTACATATGCTGTGGTGTAAGAAAATGCTCATTCCACGAGTTCAGAGAGTACAACACGTTCCATGTATAAACTTTTTTTTTTGTACAGAGAAAGGCTAGATTTTTTTTTTCGGACAAGAAGCTTGAAACCCAGAAACAGCAAACAACAAGATCGAAACTCCAAATACATCAGTATCTGTCTTGAAAGATGATCAAACGTTGTAATTTACAGTGACAAAGTGAGGGACTTTACCATCATCAAAGGGCAAGCTCACGTATTCTCTTGCGAACTCCTCCGCGATCTCAAACGCAAGTTCTCCTTGAATCGCCTTGCAGTACATGTACATCACCGTGTTCGCTGCTATGTTGTACAGTGAAAGGAGCGTCAGAAACGCAGACGCGATCGCGGTCTGGATGATGAAGCACGCGTTTCTCCACCGCGTTGTGTCGCTGCCGCCGATTTGTTGTGTAGCAGAGGCCATGGAGCTGCTCCATATCAGAACCGATTCGATGAGGACGAAGAAGAGGATGATAGACAGGGAGACGCCTCTCATCCCCTTGATCAAGCTTTTGCTCCTCTTCAATGGCGTAAACCCCCACTTCGATTCAACCACAACGATTACCCACACTAGGATCCAATTCACATATAGCTTGATCACGATTGCGACGAAGACAATCGCCAAAACGGCGCAGAGAGCGAGGAAATAAGGCGAGGAGAAATTGATTTCAAGGCCGATGAATTGAAATCCCCGAATCAGAACGAATGCCAAAAGCCCTAGAATCGCTAAAATCCAGAACATGATAATTTGGACTGGAATTAGAGTAGCCAGAAGAGGGAAAAACGAAGCGAGACCCGATTTAATGGCGGACAAAAGCTTCACAGGTCGACCGTAGAATCCCTGGAACACACTGTACGTGATCGAACCAATAGCCAAGAGATTGAAGACGGTGGCCACGACGGTGTAAGCTATCGACAGCAAAATCACCGTCTCCGATGTGGCGGCGCGTGGATCGTACTCGCGGCCGCTGCGGAGGAGGGAAACGCTATCGGGAGCGGCGGAATGGTCGGAGAGGAGGCGGATGACGGAGGGGTAAACGGTGGCGGAGAAGCAGAGAGGAAGAAGGAAGAGGACGGAGAGAGCCAGGAAATGGCGGGAATGAGCGTTGATGATACGCTTGGATCCCGAGAGGATCAGCCAGAGACCTAAAAACATGAACCATTACATATATATATATATGACAAACGAGGATTCATTTCATATTATATATGTCGCTTTTTCTAATGTCTATGCTTTTTCAAAGCTTTGATCCCATCTTATAAAGAGAATAACTTTTTCATAAATCAAATTTAGTCCGCCTTCTTCCTCTTTAATACCTCAATTATATGAATCTCTTTATTTCAAGAAAAATATTTTTTTTTCTTCGAAATATGTGATTGTTTAATTGATCGATAAGCTTTTTCTTTCCTGCCCTTGATTTTCAGTAATTGAATTGAAAGTTTAGTACATCCTGTCATTTACAGGGCATAATTACAATAATACCCTCCATCTCTGATTATTTAATTCGTCTCGGCACCAAAAAGGCTCCACATAAAGGTCATCTAACATCTTTTTTTTTCTCAATATATATATATATATATATATATATATATATTTATATATATATATATGGGCAACCTAAAAAAATCACCAACTTGCAAAAATATATACAAATAAACATTCAACTTGAAAAACTGGCATTCAATCTCCGAACTTGTAATTTGTCACTGAATAAAAACTCGAACTTGCAAATTATTGTTCTAATAAACCTTTGACTGGTTTGACCACAATTTCAGACGATCGGAAATCTACGTATTAACGGATTGTGATATCACCTTATACACGTTATCAATTTTAATTTACAAAATGACATCAACAATTCATCAATACATAGATTTCCGATCGTTTGAAATTGTGATCAAACCGGTCAAAGGTTTATTAGAGCAGTAATTTGCAAGTTCGATGTTTTATTCAGTGACAAGTTACAAGTTCGAGAATTGAATGTCAGATTTTCAAGTTAAAAATTTATTTGTATATATTTTTATAAGTTGGAGATTTTTTTAGGGGTTTTACCCAATATATTATGATTTCAGGAATTCAATATAACACCGCTTTTGCGCTGTAAAACCCCATGACGGTGTAAATAGCTTGTGAAACAAGCTACCATCTCCACATAATTTTTTTTTTCATGTAAAAAAAACTATATAAAAAAGTTTAATTAGCTGTGTATATATTTTTTTCATAGCAATTTGTATTCCTTCGCAATGGTAGATTAAATTTACTCTTAATTACTAGAATTTTAAATACATAAATTAAAAAATGTTGTAAAATAATGTTTTGACACCACACGCAGAGACAGCCCTCCCTTTCTCTCTCTCTCCCAAAATTTCAAGGAAGAATATCTAAAACTCCTCCCATCGAGAAATTCGCTGATATTCGATCAATTTCTTCTCCGATTGGGAATGAGCTCCGATTCGCCGGCGGCGGGGGAAGGCTGCGGCGACGCGGAGGCCGCGAGAAAGAACGTGCCGTCTCCGTCGTACGACAAGCAGAAGGAGAAGGCGCGCGTGAGCAGGACGTCGCTGATCCTCTGGCACGCCCACCAGAACGATGCCTCGGCCGTTCGGAAGCTGCTCGAGGAGGATCCATCACTGGTCCACGCCAGGGACTACGATCGCCGCACCCCTCTCCACGTGACGTCGCTCCACGGCTGGATCGATGTCGCCAAGTGCTTGCTCGAGTTTGGCGCTGACGTCAACGCTCAGGATCGCTGGAAGAACACGGTACCCCTGATCCTCTCCGACTGAGTTCTCGAATCGCTCCTGTTATCCGGTTTCGTCTCGAATTACCCTACCAGCCTACCTTAATCTCGATTTTGTGTTTCCTTTTCTGGGTGTTCGAAGCCTTTGGCTGATGCTGAAGGAGCCAAGAAGCAGAAAATGATCGAGCTATTGAAGTCACACGGCGGTTTATCTTACGTGAGCTCGAATTTCTTTCTAGCTTCTCCGACTTAAGATTGCAAATTCCTGAGAAATTAGATTCTCTCTGCTGTCTTTTCTATTACAGCTAATGATGAAGCTCAATGCGTTATTGTTAACTCTCCATCCCCATTCTGGTTTTTTCAATTAGTTCGAATATTATCCGTAGAACGGACGCTAGATTTGAAGACCTCTTTTGTTGTCTTGTGTTGTGTTATTCAAATTGTAAATCTTTGAGAAATTGGATTCCTTTTGGTCCAGAATTGAATATTGAAGTTTCCCTCCATTATTGGTGTCATGATCTTATGTTGAATCCGACTTGTTTGTCAAGTTTTTTCTGTCCTTTTGTTTGTGATGGATCTCGATTTGATTGCCACGGTAGATTTTCTTGCGGTTGCTGAGTGATTCTTGATGCAGGGTCAAAATGGAAGTCACTTTGAACCAAAGCCTGTTCCACCCCCTATTCCAAAGAAATGTGACTGGGAGATTGACCCTTCTGAGCTGGACTTCTCTAATGCCGTGATGATTGGAAAGGTTTTACATTAGTTCTTACTTTAGTATGGATTATATATGGGCTAGAGATTTTCATGCAAATGGCTCTCAAAATAGTTGGTTTTCAATCATTTATGAACTGTTTATCCAACCCCCATATGGATCTGCATAGATTTGGTGGTGTTTTTTCTGCAATAAAGTCTTTGGTTAATGGGTTCTCATTCTGTTAGGGTTCCTTTGGTGAGATTGTAAAAGCCTATTGGAGAGGGACACCAGTAGCCGTGAAACGTATTCTTCCATCTCTTTCAGATGATAGACTGGTGATGTAAGCATATTTACCTTTATTCCTTTTTCTCTTATTCTTACTAGCTTTCCAGGCAAGTGCGTGGATCAATTTAGCTCACTTCCTTTTCAACTTACATATGCTTTCTAGCTTTCTGGATTTGTTCAATAGGAAAACTACTTTTCCCTTGTGAATATGTCGATTAGGAACCAAGATTCACTATTATTAGTGAAAACTTTCCTTGACCACTCGGTTTTTGATGTGGTGAATCAACTTTAATAATTGAAGATTATGGTTCACGTTTACAGTTTTTAGCTGCTCTGGTATCATCCTCTTTTATTTGATTAAAGGTATATGCTTTGATGTCTCGTCTCTGCTGATGCAGTCAGGACTTTAGGCATGAGGTCGATTTGCTAGTTAAGCTTCGCCATCCAAATATAGTGCAATTCTTAGGAGCCGTCACAGAAAGGAAGCCCCTCATGTTAATAATTGAATACTTACGTGGGGTAGGTTCAAAGTTTGAGTTTTCTGCAAAGAATTCTGCCTTTTTTTTTTTAATCTGATTTTGCTATTAGTGCCGTACATTTACTTGATTTTATTCTCCATCAGGGAGATCTTCACCAATACCTCAAGGAAAAAGGTGGCCTTAGTCCATCAACAGCTGTTAACTTTGCATTGGACATAGCGAGGTAATTGAGGCGACATTAGATATATAATCAGGAAACCTAAAATATTTGAATTGTTGTTAGGCTTTACCTAATATAAGTCGGGCCAAGAATGTATTTTTTTCCAGCTATTTGAGAACTTGTTCGAATATGAAGTTTTGTTCTTCAAATTAGCTCCATTACGTTTTTTCTTTTTTTGCAGAGGAATGACCTGCCTGCACAATGAGCCCAATGTAATCATTCACCGAGACCTCAAACCGAGGTAAGTTCAGTTGCATAAGATCCCCCCCTCCTGGAAACATAGATTGGCTTCTGTTTCTCACTTTGATCGTTGCATTGTAATCTGAACTCGTTATACACAAAAATGAAATTCTCAGCATAACACTTACGGATTGCCAACCATTTTTCAGGAACGTTCTTCTGGTTAATTCTAGTGCGGACCACTTGAAAGTTGGAGACTTTGGACTTAGCAAGCTCATCAAAGTTCAAAATTCCCATGATGTGTACAAAATGACCGGGGAAACCGGAAGCTGTAAGCATCTTTCGCTGATAAAATACTCAAACAAAAACCAAAGTTTGACACTCTTGCTTACTTTGATTACCTGTCCTCTTTTCCATGTCGCGGTTAAAAAAAAGACCGGTATATGGCTCCTGAAGTATTCAAGCACAGGAAATACGACAAGAAAGTCGACGTCTTCTCCTTTGCAATGATACTTTATGAGGTAAAAACTTCAACTTTAAAAGGGACCCTGCAACAAAGGAGACTGAAGCTTGAAGATCTTACAATTTCTCCTTCTACGTCTAATTCCATTGCCAAATTTGAGCAGATGCTTGAAGGAGAACCGCCATTAGCGAACCACGAGCCTTATGAAGCGGCCAAACACGTAGCAGATGGACACAGGCCTACGTTCCGATCCAAGGGATTCACTCCCGACCTGAGAGAGTAAGCGAAAATTCCCCGAGATTTACCATTCCCTACCTACCGACTGAGGTCTCTTTGTACTAAACATCCATCCATCCATCCGTTGTGTAAATTTTGAAGGTTGATAGTGAGGTGTTGGGACGCGGATGTGAACGTGAGGCCGTCATTCCTGGAGATACTGAAGAGGCTCGAGAAGATAAAGGAAACTCTACCATCAGATCATCACTGGGGCTTATTCACCTCTTAACACTCTCCCTTCCCACCAAAACCACGTATGGTTTGTCTCTTTGTTTGTTTAATGCCAATCTGAATTATTACTACCCTCATTTTGTTTGCCACTGATACCTTTGTAATGTAATGAAGATTCATAGATGGATGGGTTTATATTTCTCTGAGTTGGTTGTAATATGGGTTTGGACTAAGGGTGGACGTTTCGATATTCGATTCGGGTTGAAAATGATTCGGTTTTACAAAAATAGGTATCAATCACTTATTATATTATATTCGATTCGGTTCTGTTCGATTTCGTTCTTTATTTTTAAAAAATTAGATCCTAAAAATATTTCGGTTTTTTTAGTTTTTTTAAATTTTGATTCGGTTCGATTTCAAAATTTATTTATTTTTTCTAAAATTAATATATTCATAAATTTTGAACAGTTTGGATCCAGAAAAATACAGTATTTTTTAGTTCGGTACGGTTCTTCAGAACCGATCTGAAACACTCAGTCCTAGTTTGGACAACCTCGGTGAGTTCAGGTATTGTTCATGTTTTGTTTTGGCGGAAAGAATGAATAATGGGGGCAGAATTATATTTCACAATTGCAAATCGAAGATAAACGAATTATTACCCACTTCGAATCTCCTTCCCAAATGTCAAAATGTCACGAAAAGAATTGTGTACAAGAGGAGGGCTCATTCCACGGTTTCAGGTAGAGGTTTTTTCACTAATTCCATTGCTTAGATGACCTTCTTCTTCTCGAAGAAAGTCTTCAAGTGCCATAGTTGCAGACCCGCCACAGACAAGCAAACCACCAACGACAAGAAACTCAGCCATGCCATCTTCGCGTTTGTGCCTATGTTCAGCTCCTGCATTTCATATTCCCTGCACCAAAAAAAAAACAGCAGAAGAAGAAGATCCATGTTATCTGTCTCTTCATCTCTTCTTCTAGAGTCACTGACTCAAAGAGAGGATTTTCTGTGTTTTTTTTATACCTGTCGCGAAGGTAGAACATGTCGTCGCGGATGGAAGAAACGGTGTCTAACAACCTCTTGACCTCAAACTCCATTGTCTGGGCAATAACATCAAGATCCCCAAACAGTTACCCACACGATTCCCTGGCCTTATTAGTCACTGATCTTATCTGAAAAGGATCTATCTTTCTAGCCACGACCTCCCGAATTTCAATCAGCTATTGGATTTGGATTAAGGGTAATGATAAATGATCGAGGTTGAGGAGGGACTTACATCGACTTGGCCCTTCTTGGCGACATTGGACCAGTCCTTGGCATGAACACCTGTTCTCCAATCGAAATCGACGGTCATCGTCACCTCCGGCGAGTGATCGACGGCGGAGAAGCACGCCACGTGATCCCCGCCCTCCCCCGCCGAGTACGCGAACTGCCCCGTCTCCACCCCATCCGCCTGGTGGTACGTCGTCTCTTGCGCCGACATCACCTATGCACATACACACACATGCGTATGCATATATTTATACGTACTGACACAAAATCGACGAAATTCGAAATCGAAGTCGGAATTCGATGTGATTGTGGTGTTTTGGGCGTACCTTGACATTGATCTTGTGGGATGGAGGGAGAGGATGACCTTCATTAGGGTTTACGACGCTGTACTTCCCGACGACCATGGCACGGGTCGGAATATCCTCGGCGATGCATTTCATGTCCCCAGATTGCAGGTCGAACCGTAAAGCCCGTGTCGCCGGATATAAAATCATCACGATCAACAGTGCAATCAAGCTCCGACAAGAATCCATGGCGGCGGAGAGAAGATAGAGAGAGAGAGAGCGCTTCTGACAGTATTCAAAGTTTTGGTCATTCTTCGAACAAGGAAGCAAAGATAGTCAACAACGTGATTAGCCACGTGGAACCGTCCCATTCGTGCAGACACGTGGACAAACATTCTGGCCTTTTGACTCACTTACGAAAACATTTGGGCCTAGAAAATAGGCCCAATTGTATTATTGGGTCTAAATTCCAAACAAATTGGGCCCATATATAACGAACCCATATAACATTCTTTCTCCCTTCTTTGACTTCAACCCAACTAGAAACTTCAGAGGCCCATATATAACGAACGGCTGAGATGAAAATATCACCAGAATCAACGGTGATCGTTTAAATATCGGCAAACCTATGAATTTACGTAAATCTAAATTCGAAATATAGAATATGATCGAGAAAATATCCATGCTTCTTCGGGTTTTATTTGTTCTTTAGATAATTACGGCAAGATCCGAATATCTCGAGGTTTTGTTTACACATTTTACCAAATATAGAAAATGGTGTTTACCCAAAAAAAATAATATAGAAAATGGAAACTTTCCACTGAAGGAATGTCTAATAATAGGGCAGGAAGCAAATTGTTGGTACATTGATTGAATTCAGATTTTATTACCTTTTTATTTTTTTAGAAATGTATAAAATATCTTAGATATCTCTTAAAATTAATAATTTTATTTATTGTCATCTTTGGATAGTTTAGGGGTAAAAAAACATCCAAATAATATTTTTATATCGGATTCAAATCTAAAGGTGAGAAATGATATTTATATAATTTTTTGATCTTTTGAAAAATGTAGTTTTTTGAATGTAATTTTTTTTTTGATAAAATTCTTCTATGGATAAACGATGATACATCGAGTGATAGTGCTTAAGCACAATACATTGGGAACACTAAGGAAATAACCTTAATGGAAGCAATCTACTACGTTCAGTAAACCCAAATGAAACAAAACAACAAAAAGATAACTCAGATGTGAGTAAACCATAGTTGCAAGCAAGAGCTTGCGAGTTCTGGATCTTGCGTTCGGATGGAGGCGATGCGTCTTCGGAAGCACGAGTCGATCTCCTTTTTTATGGAAGAAGCATCGGTGAAGAGTTGACGATGCAGTCGGTGATTTCTTTCTTTCCATAGAGTGTAGGCTGTTGTCTGCCATGACATGAGCACCGCCCAATGGTGGTGCTTGCCTAGGCGATGAGTAGAGAGATGGCCAAGCACTTCTGACCATGAGAAACCTGGCAAGGTGATCCCCAATCTATTCATAGTCCACCCGAGGATGATCTTTGAGAAAGAACAAGTAAAGAACAAATGCTCATTCGATTCAGGCTGTACGTTACACAGAAGACAAGAGGGGTCGACCATAAGGCCCCAACTGATGAGACGATCCGTTGTGGGACATCTGTTCAAAGTAATTAGCCAAGAGATAAAAGCATGCTTAGGCACATTTGATTTGTACCAAATAGTTTTGGACCAGGCGCAATGGTTGGTCGGAGTAGAAAAGGTCTTCCAGACTTCTTTGAAAAATGTAGTTGAATAAAAAATACGATGAAGTTTCGAATTATTAAAAAAAATTACTAATTTTATATTATAAAATTTGATTTTAATATCACGCAGAAATTTTGTTGAATGTTCTAAATTTGAATGATATCAAGATCTATATGAGCATTTTAATTCTTAATATCCAAATATTTGGGTTATAGATTTTGAATAATCCACCATCCGAGACTATGGGAACAGTTATTAGGTATTAGGAACAAGTTCAATGATGTTCATTTCATGCTCTCCTTTTTTTTTTCCTGGAAAAAACTCCATTTTCTCCTACCATGAATACACACACCTATATCATGATTTCATCCCATCAACCCACACACTACTAATTATTTTATTTCTCTCTTTTTTAAAAAAAAAAAAAATATTGAAATTACAACCTCATTAACATTGTTAGTGCATGATTAGGGGGAAAAAACAAAAGTAAAGTATCTGGGAATGTGGTAGAAGATGGTGGGTTTGTAGAGAAAATCAAAAGGTGATAATTGTCATTTTCCTTTTTTTTTCCAAAAAAAAAACATATTATTACAAAATATATTCTTTGATTACATCATAGATGTTGTCCTCTTCTGTTCTGTGACTGTGTATTCCCTCTCTTCCAGATAAAATAGTGTAGACTAAATCACATGAAACCTCTTAATAAGTAAATAAATAAACGAATCATTCCGTTTGCTCTGAGTTTTCCTCAAATATGGCAAAAGAGAGAGACAGAGATCGAATATTTGATTCGTAATGTTATAAATTGAATTCATTGTCATGTCATCCGAATTTTTTGATTCGATATGTAATTAATGATGCTTTAATAGCTGGAGAGGGAGAGGGAGGTGCTCTGATCAATTTGTCTGGATTTCAAGTTTCGGAAAAAGTTCAAAACTTTTAGAAATTTTAGATTCTGGAAGATACCCTCTTAGCGACAAGCTGAAACATTCGTTGGAGTTGGAAAAAAGGGGGAGAGATTTCTCGGGAAAGTTTCGTTTTTTTTTTTCTCGGGAAAAAGAAAGGAGGGCCGGTTATAGCAGGCTTTGACGGTTGTCTTTGTTGGCCATTTGTCTTGTAATTTAATTTCCTTCTGTTCTCACCGCTTCTCCCTCGTGATCCCTCGCTCCTCGTTTCTCTTCCCTTTCTCTCTGGTTAATTTTCTTCGAAGCTTCGCCCTATATTTCAGATTTACTGGATCAGTTTCGAAGATTCTAACCTTTGAACGATCCAACGAAGCTGTTTTCGGATCCTCCGATTCGCTTTTGTCGGCAATTTCTTTGTGCATTTGAAGAAATCCAACGGGAATCGATACACGCAGGACCGCGATTTCTAGGTTTCGTTTTGTTTTTGTCTCCCATGAAGAGGCGATGAGGTTCGCCGGAGAGAAATGGAGATTAGATCGGAGAGTAGTAATCACTCGCGGAGCGACAAGGGTACGGCTTCGGCTCCGACAATACCCAAGCCTCGCTTGCAAGTTTGGTTCGTGAGGGTCTGCTTTAGCATTTTGGTATGGACTTGCTTGGTTCAGCTCTTCGCGGCCGGCGAGCTCTGGCATTCTCGGATCTTCACCGGTCTTAGCAATCAGATTTCCAGATTTTCCCGCCCAATCGAGCCGGTCCGATCGCCGCCTCCTCTCCCTCCTGCAAGTAATTTTCTTTTATGGGTTCCCTGATTGATTCGTTGGTGCATTAGGGTTTAGGTTTGTTTTCTATTGACAACGATTTGGAGGTTTTGTTCGCTTATGAGATTGCTTGGCAAATGGGTATCCTTCTGGTGCTCGATGGGTTCGGCGAAAATGTTGTTTTTTGCAGGAAATTATACAAGCAACGGTTTTCTTCGAGTATCCTGTAATGGTGGATTGAATCAAATGCGAGCTGCGGTTCGTCAATCGTTGTGTTGTTCTATCACTCTTTTGCCCGGTTTAGGGTTTCTGAATTTTGACACCTTTGGCTGAGATGTCTGTTCCTTTCAGATTTGTGACATGGTGGCAGTTGCGCGATTATTGAACTTAACTCTTGTTGTTCCAGAGCTAGATAAGGCATCTTTCTGGGCTGATCCAAGGTGTGTTTATGTTTCTAGGAGATCTTATCTTGATTTACACGATGTTTTAGCTCATGTAGCAATCTCAAGCATCCTAGATTTTGTTCTGCAGTGATTTCGAGGATATTTTCGATGTGAGACATTTCATTGATTCGTTAAGAGATGAAGTTCGGATGGTTAGGAGGCTGCCGAAGCGGTATGGCAGGAAATTTGGATACCGACCATTTGAAATGCCGCCTGTGAGCTGGTCTGATGACAAATATTACTTGCAGCAGGTTTGTGTGAAACCTTTCTTACCCAGAACCGTGTTATTTGGCTGCTCTTCTGATATACCGACTGCTAGTTATGTGTTATGACAACAAACAGCAAGCATTTTCATTTGCTACGGTTCATTGAGTATAAACGTATCTGTTCTTTTTGAATTCTTTGTGTGTTTCTTGTTGTTGACAAGTAAAAGTTTCTTGTTCAGGTCCTACCCCTTTTCAGCAAACATAAAGTTGTGCACTTCAACAGGACGGATGCCCGGTTGGCGAACAATGGTCTTCCCCTTGAGCTCCAGAGGCTCAGGTGCCGGGTGAACTTCCAGGGACTGAAATTCACACCGCGGATTGAGGCATTGGGATCTAAGCTGGTCAGCGTTCTCCAACAAAGGGGACCATTTGTAGCTTTGCATCTGAGATACGAGATGGACATGTTGGCTTTCTCGGGCTGCACTCATGGCTGCACTGAGGAAGAGGCTGAAGAACTAAAAAAAATGAGGTTTTTCCTTTTTCTTTTTCTCTTGCAAAAGATCTTAATGTTCTCTTTAGTATTTTCTGTTTTGAAATTCATGGCTTGATTTCTGTGTTCTTTCTAGGTATGCATATCCATGGTGGAGAGAAAAAGAGATAGTTTCAGAGGAGAGGAGAGCGCAAGGGCTGTGTCCTTTGACTCCAGAGGAAGCAGCTTTGGCTCTCAAAGCATTGGGTTTCCAAAAGGATATCCAAATCTACATTGCAGCTGGCGAAATTTACGGGAGTGAGAGGAGATTGGCCGTTCTAAGGGAAGCATTTCCGAGAATTGTAAAGTCTTATCACCTCCTATTTTCTCTCACTAAGCTAAAATCAGCAGATTGGTCTGATGAATCTGGTGATCGTCTGTGGGTTTCAGGTGAAAAAGGAAATGCTTTTAGGGCCAGCAGAGTTGCAACAGTTTCAGAACCATTCATCCCAAATGGCCGCCCTGGATTTCATTGTATCGGTGGCTAGTAATACGTTTATTCCAACGTACTATGGGAACATGGCAAAACTCGTGGAAGGTCATCGAAGGTTGGTAATTCCAACAAGTCAATCAGAACTGTTCTTACTATAAACCCCGAAATGATTTGTAGAGATTAAATGATAGAGAAAACATACTAAACTCTTGGTGGAATTCTTGACATGTATGTATGTATGTATATATATTGTAGATATCTCGGCTTCAAGAAGACGATCCTCCTTGACCGCAAGAGGCTCGTGGGGCTTATAGATTTGCATCAGAACAAGACTCTCTCATGGGATCAGTTTGCAGAAGCTGTAAGGGAAGCCCACGAGGGACGGATGGGAGAACCAACACATCGGAGAGTAATATCCGACAAACCCAAGGAGGAAGACTACTTCTATGCCAACCCTCAAGAATGCCTCTGTGAAGGCACAACTTGCCATGATTTGTTTGGAAGTCAGGCCAATTCCAGTTTGTGACAGTGAAAATCCAGTTTTCTGCATACTAATCGGAGCGTTGCTTCCATAAGAGGAGGCTATATAGCGGTATTGCCAAAACACTAGAGAGGGATCTTCTCTCTGAGTTTTTTTTTTCTTTCTTTGTTCATAAATTTCTTCAGTTTTCCTTGGTCTTGATTATCATTTCCTACATAAGTTAAATAGATGTAACCCAAGAAAGAGGCTGTCTTTCAACAATGGCCTAAGTAACAGATTGTAACAGGTATCAGCTATTTTCCTGTCAAGCTTGATACATCTCTCTACTAGTTCCTATGGGTTTCGGGCTAAGAAAACTGGTGAAGATTTTTCCTTTGTTGCCTTGAATTTGCCTCTGCAGAAAAAAAAAAGGCTCACACCATCTCTGGAAAGTGATCTTAAGCTCTCACTTGGTTTCCCAGAAGATGATTTCGCCTTGCTCTCCAACCAAGCCAAGATCTTTGAGCCTTCTTTCCTGGTAGTACTCCAACACATCAAGTTCAAGCTCTCTCTCTTTGAAGATGTCGTCAATCTGCTGAAGCACCCTCTTCTCACCAGCTCTTATCTTGATGGCTATTTCCATCCTCGGGCTAAGCTTTCCTTCTTCCAGCAACTTCTCGTCCTGTCAAAGACCGGTAAAGCAATCAGTGGTAAGTTGCTGCAAAGGCCTTACATTTGGGAGCTATGATACATACCTCTTCAATGGAGGTACCATAGCCCGAAAGAGCCAGTTTGCAGGCATCTCTGACCACCCGGCATATAAGTTCCTCGTTGGCACGGCTTACAGGCAAATCAAGATGGCCCCAGATGGCGTTTCTGAAGATAGATTCTAATAGGAAGGCATCTGCACCTCCAAGGGCCACAAGCCGTAGGTACTGAAGCATACCAGCAGGGAGAGTCTGGCCCTCTACTATGTCAAAGTAGGCAGTCTCGGCCACCCCATTGGTCTCAGCTATGTCCAACTTATCTCCGAAAAAGGGGTCTGATTCAGGTATTTCCAGAGTTAATGTGTATGAATTGCGGTTAGGGTTTGGTTCCACAAAGCCATAGTCTAGAGCAAGTTCTGCATTGCTTTTGTTCAGATCATACTGAATGAACACCTGTGGAAAATCACCAGAGAGCCTAAGAAAGATGCTCTTCCGTGTGAAAGGTATGAGTAAGTTTGTAGTGTTTGAAGCTTTACCTGCTCACCTGCTTTAACAGAAACTGGGGCTCTCAATGAAAACAAGAGATCCCTTGAGAACAGACCAGCTCCTTTGATCTCATATGCATAATCTTCCGAGGTTATTGCCACACTATGGTTTACCTGTTCAAAAACCAAACCCCATTGTGAGTATTCCACTCTGAACCAAGCAAGCATTGTGGATATCAACAGAAGAGTCTCTGTTGAATCTTGAACTAAGACATGAAACTCATCAGGGTTTCTTTTTTCTTACAAAAGCCAAGGTCTGAAAGTTGTGATTAGGGGCTTACCAGATCTGCGAGAGGGATCAAGACAAGATTTTGGCCACGGAGACGAGAGAAAGCTCTTGATCTGAGAATCCCGAATGCCCAGATGAAGTCATTTAGTGCTATGCGGGATGGGAAGAGATGCTGGTTAGGAAGTAATATCTCCTCTTCCAGTTTCGTGAATTCGTTTTCAAGGTAATCTTTCACGCCCAATGTGGTGCTCAGCAACTGAGTCCCTGATCCAAAACCGACAACAATCATGGGACCATTCTCCATCTGAGAAACATGGTTCTTCTTACAGAGACGGTCTCTATGGATCAACAGAGCAGAGGGAAAAGGGTAAAACACAAACCTTGGAGCTCAGCTAGCTCCTCCTCTGACCTGTACTGGAGACATCCATGGCGAGAAGACAAAATTAATTGACAGAGAAATAAAAAAATTTCAGACCCTGTGGAAAACAACAATCATCATAACAAGGCAAACCCACCAGAAGACAGCAGAATCAGTGGATTCAGGAAGAACATCCATGTAACCCCGCCATGGAGAATCTTCACGAAGCTTCTCTCTGATCAAGAACAGAGCCACTGAAACCCACGGTTTCAGTCCGCCGCATACGGGTCCAATCTCGGAGGCTGCAACGGTGTCTGGGTTTATCCAGAACCGATTTGGGATCTCCAAAACGACCTCGTTTCGTCCGATGTCGCGCCCAGCTACAAGGCCCAGACCCTCAGGGACCATGCCGGGTTCCACCGCCGTTTTCCCCGAGATGACGCCTTGGTCTCCGAGCCATTTCCAAAATGTCCGTACATTTTCCGGCAACTCTGGGTTTGGAGCTGCGGCGACGACGGTGAACTTCGTGCGTGGTTTTCTGGGGCGGGAAAAAATAACGGAGGAGGGTGGGGACTGTCGCATCGACGGCAAGCGGAGGAGCGCCATGGCGGCGGATGCGGCGGTGGCCATGGTGGTTTTCCGGTTGGCGGGAATTATCAGCCAGATAGATAAAGAGTCTTCGATCCGGCACCTGTGGTCTGTATCACAAACACAAGCCAGAAGACAAAAATCCAAATTTAATTTTTTTTTAAAATAAAACTGGAAAAATATATGGGCCTAGATGAGGCGAAGCAAAGCCTGAAATAGGCCCAAACCCAGAATAATGGGCCCTTTAAGGATCCGATATTCAGGAGTTGTCCAAAGATCGGTTACTCATATCAATAACAAAAATCAATTTTTTATCAATAAAATCAAAATCAAATTCGGACCAAAATAGAATGAAATCAATTTATTATAAAAATCGAACGATAAGTCATTGACAGCCAATACAGAAGGCAGAAAAAGAAAGATGCAGCAATTAGTGGAAAGGCGCCATCTTTATTTTGGCATAATCAACAAATTGAGTCGGATAAACCCTAGAACAAACGTTCATGGGGCGTTAAGAAAGTTGTGAACTTTAATCACTCTGAGCCATAAACAGAGTAGAAAAATGCAGCAACCAGATGAAGTTCCCTAAAGGGTACCATTATTTTTTCTCCATCAACTTCCTAATCATGAGAGAGAGAGAGAGAGAGAGAGAGAGAGAGAGAGAGAGAGAGGTCGGAGTTGGTTGACGGCCGGAAAATGACAGCCTCTAAGGAATCTCGATCATTGAGAATAATTGCCATTATTCTCAGCTTTGTTTATACCCATGACAACAGGCATGTTCTTGGGTAGGTCAGTGAACTGGGGGCAAGTGTGTGTGTATATGAGTTTCTGGTCAATTGTTAAAAAATATATATATATAATGAGACAAAGTAGGAGCCACGTCGGAGTTCGTGGATGGTCAGAAAGCGACAATCTCTCTCGCTCTCTCTAAACAGAAACAACTCTAGAAACAGAGTTAAAGTCAGAAGATCAGATTCTCCGGCAACTTGTGCACCGTTGACCGGCCAAAACTTCCGGCGAAGTTTCTCAGATCACACTGTACAATGAATCTCTGGAGATCCTTTGCCCCCTGTCTGATCATTTTCTCGACAATTCTACTTGCATTCTCTATGATCTTCCACGGCCAGCCTTGTGATCTTCATCGGTTTATTGGTACCACCACCGCTAGAATCCACACCGGCCGAGTTTCCCCTAACGCAACCGCATCCGGTAGGCATTTTTCTCTCGAGACGTTAAAGCTTGAATTCACCAACCCTGCTCTGATGATTTCTCTTTCGGGTTTTCAGGTTCAAAAGATTCCGATACATTGCTTGGAGGGCTTCTTGCTGCAGGTTTCGATCAAGGTTCTTGCCACAGTAGGTACCAGTCTATGCTGTATCGGAAACCTTCGCCTTACAAGCCTTCTCAGTATCTCGTCTCTAAACTTAGAAACTACGAAATGCTTCACAAGAAATGCGGCCCGGCTACTGAAGCTTACAGAAGAACTCTTGAGCAACTTAATCAAGAACATGTTAATGTCAGTGGCTATGGCGAATGCAAATATGCTGTGTGGGTACCGCTTGCTGGGCTCGGAAACAGGATACTCTCTCTAGCTTCTGTCTTTCTCTACGCTCTCTTGACAGATAGAGTCTTGCTCGTTGAACGAGGCCCCGATTTGGATGACCTGTTCTGTGAACCGTTTCCAGGAACATCGTGGTTACTGCCTTTAGATTTTCCGATGAGGGGTGAATTTCACATGCTTAACCAGCAATCCTCAAATAGTTATGGCAACATGCCGAAGAATCAAACCAGTAATTCCTCAACCGAAGGAGTTCCATCCCAAATGTACCTTCATCTTGTTCATGATTATGGGGATCGTGATAAGATGTTCTTCTGTGAAGGAGACGAAGCTCTCATACAGAGAATCCCTTGGTTGGTAATCAAGTCAGACCAATACTTCATCCCGTCACTCTGGATGATCCCCGGTTTCCAGCATGAACTAACCAAGCTATTCCCGCAGAAAGACACCGTCTTCCACCACTTGGGTCGGTATCTTTTCCACCCGACAGACCAAGTGTGGGGCTTAGTCACGAGGTTTTACCAAACTCACTTATCCACGGCGGAGGAGAGAGTCGGGATTCAAGTCAGAACCTTTGATGGCAAAGGCCCTTTTCAGTATGTGATGGATCAGATCGTAGCCTGCATCCGCAGAGAAGAACTGCTACCTGAAGTGGATACAGAAGGCTCCATGGCAAATATACCGAAAAGAAAAGCCGTTCTGGTCACATCTATGAGTCCATGGTACGCCAAGAACCTAAAGGGTATGTTTCAGGAGCATCAGAGACGGGAAGGGGACGACGTAATAGGAGTTTACCAGCCGAGCCATGAAGAATACCAGCAGACGGGGAAGAAGCTACACGACCAAAAGGCTCTAGCCGAGATGTACCTACTAAGTCTGAGTGATAAACTCGTGACGAGTGGCTGGTCCACGTTCGGGTATGTAGCTCACGGCCTGGCGGGACTAAAGCCATGGATACTGTACAAGCCTAAAAACAAGACGACCCCTGACCCGCCATGTGGTCGTGCCATGTCCATGGAGCCTTGTTTCCATTTCCCTCCATTCTACGACTGTAAATCCAAGAGGGGAGCAGACACGGGAAAGATCATACCTTATGTGAGGCATTGTGAAGATTGGAGCATAGGGCTTAGGCTATTCGATGGTATTGGTGAGTCATAAGCTCCTTCTTTATCTCCCCCAGATGATTTTCCTTCACAAGGGGAGAGAGATATATGTATATGAACATTCAACATAGAACCCCAGAATGTATCTGTTCATCATTTCTGGAAAAGAGAGAAAAAAAACTGAAACTTTGAAATAAGGACCTAATTTCATGGCAAGAATCTCCCGTCGAACTCATCAGCAAGAAGCCTTCCCGACTCCCGGAAGTTCATCGTCTGGTTTTGTCGGAAGCCGTTTTACCTGAGGCGTAGAGGAGGAGAATTTAGGGGGCTGTGGATCTGACAATTTGGTTAATAATGGAATTATAAAAATCATATAATATAATCTCACGGAATCAAAAATTTATATCCCGTTAAACTTACCGAATTTATAAAATGGTTAAAAAAAATTAGGGGTGTAAAATGGGCGGAACGGGCCGGGTTCGGGCGGGTTCAATTCGGGTCTACAATTTTTCGGATCGGGTCGGTTCATCTATTTATTTTTCGAGTCTAGAATCGATGGCGCGGAACCCTACTCTATAGGGCTTCGGACGAGTTCAGGCCGGGCTTCAGGCTTTTCATTAAATAAAATATTTTTTTTTATAATAATAATAATAATAATAATAATAATAATAATAATAATAATAATAATAATAATAATAATAATAATAATAATAATAATAATAATAATAATAATAATAATAATAATAATAATAATAATAATAATAATAATAATAATAATAATAATAATAATAATAATAATAATAATAATAATAATAATAATAATAATAATAATGTGAAACATTCAACAAAAATATTTAAAAAACCGATAACAACAAAGCCATTTAATTCACAAATAAAAATAAAATTGAAAAAAATATATAAATTGTTCAATTCTCCAACATCACATCCTGCAATTACAAACTTTTAAACGTGATAAAAAAATAACAAACATAATATAAAAAGAAATTCTATGCTGTAATTAATTTGAAACCTATAGAAAAAAAAATCAATATATTTATATACAAACAAAGGTTTAAAAATATATATATTTGAAAATTTCTACCCTTTCAAAAATATAAACTTATATATATATGATGTAATATGGTTAAGAAATTCAAAACTCCCATCACTTTAAAAAGTTTAATTAGAACCAAGATATAAAAGTTTATCATTTGGTTCAAATATATATATATATATATATATTTAGACACATATATTTATAAGTATAGAAAGGTAAAACTTTGGTTTAGAAAAGAGGGTTAGAAAAAAAAAGGGCCTCAAGCCCGGCCCGAAATCCGACTGGTCCGGTTCGATCGGTCTGCAGCTCATTTGGTCCGAGGCCCGAAAGTCCGAAGTTTAATGAGCCTACATTTTCTAGACTAGGGGTGTCAAAAAGCCTGAGACCCGATACCCGGCTCGAATCCGTCCGTAAAATTTACGGGCTCAAACTTTACAAATCAAGACCCGTTCGTTTTTCGGGTCGAGCCAGTCCGGCCCGGAAAATTACGGGCCAAAAGCGGGTTCAGGCCGGGCCAGCCCGACCCGGTCCGTAAATCCGATTAAAATATAAATTATAAATATAAATATATATGTATATAGGTAAATATATGTATACATATATATATTCGCACATATTTAATCATATATATATATATATATATACATTTATTCAATCTTTTGAATATATGTATATATATTTATAATGTATATAATTGTATAAAAAATATACAAATATTATATAATATAGAAAGCTCTAAAAAACTAAAAACTTATTTAATACTAAATAATTTAGGATATAATATTTTCATAAATGATATAATCCAAATTATAATACTATTAGTTTCAAATAATTATATATTCCAAATGAAAAAAGCCCGGCCCGAAATCCGACTGGTCCGGTTCGATCGGTCTGCAGCTCATTTGGTCCGAGGCCCGAAAGTCCGAAGTTTAATGAGCCTACATTTTCTAGACTAGGGGTGTCAAAAAGCCTGAGACCCGATACCCGGCTCGAATCCGTCCGTAAAATTTACGGGCTCAAACTTTACAAATCAAGACCCGTTCGTTTTTCGGGTCGAGCCAGTCCGGCCCGGAAAATTACGGGCCAAAAGCGGGTTCAGGCCGGGCCAGCCCGACCCGGTCCGTAAATCCGATTAAAATATAAATTATAAATATAAATATATATGTATATAGGTAAATATATGTATACATATATATATTCGCACATATTTAATCATATATATATATATATATATACATTTATTCAATCTTTTGAATATATGTATATATATTTATAATGTATATAATTGTATAAAAAATATACAAATATTATATAATATAGAAAGCTCTAAAAAACTAAAAACTTATTTAATACTAAATAATTTAGGATATAATATTTTCATAAATGATATAATCCAAATTATAATACTATTAGTTTCAAATAATTATATATTCCAAATGAAAAATATAATAATTTATCATTTTTAAAAATTTATTACCATATAAAATTAAAAAAAAATTAATTTTAATTTATATTAGATCAAAATATATAATTTCGTAATCTATTTTTTTATCTTTTTATTATCACAAAATGTATTAAAATTTTTTGTATTTTAATTATTTTAATTTGTTTATATTTTTTTAAAAAAATTTCAAGCCTGAAACCCGGCCCGAACCTGAAAAAAACTTATAGGGTCGGGCTCCGGGCCGAAGATTTTAGGCCGTTGGTTTTTCGGACCGGTCCGGCCCGGCCCGTAAATATTCGGGTTTGTGTCGGGCTCGGGCCGGGCCGGCCCGACCCGATCATTTTGACACCCCTATTCTAGACCCATGTCCTTATAATTTTCGGACGGGCTCGGACCGGGTTTTGGATTCTGGACTTAACTGACATCCCTAAAAAAAATTGACAAATTTATTCCCAACGAATGATTATAAATTTATAATTTCATAAAATTGAAATAAAAAAACCCAGATACAATCTAACCGAATTTGAACCGAAATGCGAGATATCCCTAATTTCAGTAGAAGTCAAACCGAACGTGCTAATCACGTGGTGCTTGAGGAATGAGGACTTAAACGACGACGTTTTTCGGTTTCCGGTTCATGGTGTTCGACCATACTGGCGGCAAAATCCAAACGCCGGAGGATTTTGCAGTACAACCGATTAGGGTTTTTTGAATTTCCAGCGAAAAGGAGCTCTTTTTGGTTTCGAATGCGAACTCGGCTCGGCTGAAGAGTGAAAATGGAGGACTTGGTTTCATCTGAGTGTGATTTAGGGATTTTAGAATCTCTGTCGGACGATGCTATCCAAGAAATCACGGAAAGCTTCGACGGTTTCTGCGCCGCCGTGCAGTCACTCATTTCTGGCGCTGGCGATGGAAACACGTCTGTTGGGTCGGAGCTCGAGTCTCACGTGCACCGACTCTGTAAGCACGGGCTCGATTCTCTTGTTCGTGACCACTTCCTTAGATCACTAGAGGTAGAATTTCTTCTTTTCGTATCGGACCCTGAAATTGTTGAAATTTTCTTTTTCTTTCTCATATTTTCAGTTAAATTTTGAATCTTTTAGCTGCCCATTTGCTCGGGCTGTTCGACAGCGTAGTTTAGTGTGCAGCAGTTGTGATAGTTGGAGTGTGTACTCTCTTTTTGTCTAAAATGGGAATCATCTACTCGTTTCAGATAGCTTTCGAGAAGGAAAGTGTATCTAAATTTTGGCGTCATTTAGATGCATACGAGAAGAAGAAACCTCTTGTAAGCAAAATTCATTGATGATCTGTTTTCATTTCTAGTTCATACTTGGGTTTGATGTAGTCTTCTTGTTTCATGACTGGAGGTGGGATGCTGAAAATTTTATGTGCAGATCTATGGTGATGAGATTCAGGAAGTGTTATGCAAGGCTTTGGATGAGTTATCTATGGAGAAGCAGTATCAGGAGAAGTGCTTGTCCATGGTGGTCGATGCTCTGCAGTCATTCAAGGATCAGTCGTCCAAGATGAGACAGAAGGCAAATGCAGAAAAAGTTAATCTTTTTTCCATGTTCCAATTGATGGTGTCTTCAGTTCTTATGGCTAGTCTTCCTCAGCATTTTCCTGGTACACCCCATCTTAGATGGCTCGCACTTTTTGGGTTTCCATTGTGGTACTCTTATGATATGGAACTGTTAAAAGTTGGATCAGACAACCTTAAGCCAGTGTCCTGTTCTCATGCTATGCTCATTTCATTTTATCTTTCTGAATTGCTTGCTGAAGAGACTGATTTATATCCCTGACTTGTTTTAACCATATGTTTAATTACTACTCTTCTTCTCTGTCTTTAAAATGCTCTTAGAAATACTCCACTGGTATTTTAAGGAAAAGCTGGAGGAGCTAAGTGCAATCATGGATGTAGAGGGTATGGAGGAAATCGAAGAACAAGAGAGTGATTGCATGGATTTGGATGAAAAGTTGAGATGTAAAAATGGAGAGATGGATATTGATCAGTGTGATCCCCAAGGAAAATACTCTGGACATGACAAGTTGGTGAAGAACATCGGGAAGGTGGTCCGTGACCTTAGAAGTGTTGGATTTACATCTATGGCTGAAAATGCTTATGCTTCTTCTATCTTTTTGCTTCTCAAGGTATCTTCTGATATGTCCAGAGATCATAAAGATTTAAACTTTCAAATATATCCCCACAAGTTATACGGCATTGGTATATATTCAGCTTATCTCATGATTTTACACTTCAGGCCAAAGTTCATGATCTTGCCGGGGACGATTACAGGACTTCTGTTTTGGAGTCAATAAAAGAATGGATACAGGTGGTTTATACTCATTAGTTTCTCTTCTTTTTTTTTTTTGCACCGTTAGCTTAGTATTGTGTTAACTTGTAGATTCTTGATGCCTGATCTTTTCTTGCAGGCAGTGCCTCTGCAATTCCTCAGTGCACTTCTTTCTTATCTTGGAGACTCTCTTAGTTACAGTACCCAATCTTCTAACATCAAGGCTCCATTGGCTTCATGTCCATCTCCTTGCTTTTCTGGAGTGGAGACTCCTTCAGAAGGACTTGTCAGGTGGAAACTACGGCTGGAATATTTTGCTTATGAGACGCTTCAAGATTTAAGGATAGCAAAACTCTTTGAAATCATTGTTGACTATCCCGAGAGGTATATGTATACTATATATATTATTGTATTTTGTTACCCACAAGTCTTTCGCTCAAAATCGATTATTTTTTTCTCTGTTCTTTTATCTTGCATCTTTGATAGCATGTGACTCTGTTTATTATCCTGCAGTTCTCCTGCTATTGAAGACTTAAAACAGTGTCTTGAATATACAGGACAACATTCTAAGTTAGTGGAATCATTTATTTCTTCACTAAAATACCGTCTGCTTACTGCTGGTGCCTCGACCAATGATATATTGCACCAGTATGTCTCGACTATTAAAGCACTCCGGACAATAGACCCAGCTGGTGTATTTCTGGAAGCAGTGGGTGAGCCAATCAGAGACTATTTACGTGGCCGGAAAGACACGATTAAATGTATCGTTACTATGCTCACGGATGGAAGCGGGGGAAACCCGAGTGGGTCAGGAAACCCGGGGGATAGCCTTCTTGAAGAATTAATGAGGGATGAAGAAAATCAAGAGAATGGTAACTTTGACGATGATTTTCACACCGATGATAAACAAGCTTGGATCAACTCCTCTCGGTATTCTCACTGTTCTATAATCTTTACTCTTGAAATCTATTAACTCGGGTTTTCTTGATAGATACTTGTGTTACAACTCCATCTGCTTTCCACTTGTTTTTTTTTTGTGTCCTTAGTTGGGAACCAGACCCAGTTGAGGCTGATCCTTTAAAAGGCAGCCTGAGTCAAAGGAAGGTGGACATACTTGGAATGCTTGTCGGTATAATTGGATCAAAGGAGCAACTAGTAAATGAATACCGAGTTATGCTAGCAGAAAAGCTTCTGAATAAGACTGATTATGACATCGACACTGAGATACGTACTGTAGAACTCCTCAAGGCAAGTTCTTTGTTTTCTTCCGACAAAACGAGAATTAAAAAAAAAATCTTATCAGAACCATTTACTTTCATCATCTGGGTCGAACGAAATTCTTAACTTTTTTCATCTTTTAATGCCTGCACATGTTATTACATCTGGAACGGTTCTGATTTGTTATAGTTGTTTCTGCCTCACTAGATACATTTTGGAGAAGCAAGTATGCAAAGATGTGAGATTATGTTGAATGACCTGATTGACTCTAAAAGAGTGAACACTAACATTAAAGCCACCATTGCCAAAGCCTCTCCAGCAGGTTTGAATTTCCGATTTTATTTTATAATGCACTTCCCGGTAGCTTTTACTAGTTGTGTCTTGCATCTGTGTAAATACCCTCTCGTCGGCTCTTTCTTAGGTGGTGATGAGTCTGGAGGGAATGAGCTATCTCTTGATATTCTTAATTCAACAATAATCTCTACAAACTTCTGGCCGCCAATTCAGGTAGTCAAACTTTTTTTCTCCTCTATTAATTTTTCTTTTTCATCTTGCTACCAATCACATATTCTTCCCTTTTTCTTTTGATTGTCATCGGGTGTGATACTCACACATACACATATAGTACCGTTATATATACATATATATATGTGTTGTGTGGTTTTCGCTGAATTTGAATGAACTTTCAAGGATGAGCCACTGGAGCTGCCGAGCCCGATAGACCAGCTGCTATCGGATTATTCCAACAGATATCATGAAATCAAGACCCCTCGTAAACTACTTTGGAAGAAAAATCTTGGCACTGTCAAGGTAGACACTTTCAACTCATTTCAGTCTCATATTATATCTGGTTAAATACCCTCTGGTTTTTCAAGTCTGGTAAGCCATGGAAAGTGATTAAAATTCATCTATAGCATGATTGAGCTTCTTTGACATGGTGGGAAATGCCATTTCAGTTGGAGTTGGAATTTGAGGATAGAGCCATGCAGTTTACAGTTTCCCCCATACACGCAGCAATTATTATGCAATTCCAAGATAGGAAAAGGTAAAAAAAAATCCAGAGGGACGGGTTTTGATATTTTACTATATGGTTTTTTTATCCAATTGTTGGTGAAAACATGATGATCTTCATGCTTTATACTTGCTTCAGTTGGACCTCGAAAGATCTTGCCTCAGCGGTCGGGGTACCGATGGACACATTGACCCGGAGAATAAACTTTTGGATAAGCAAGGTATAACTGTAATTCCTAACCATTTGTCTACACTATATGTCAAATATATTTGGGTATATCGGTGATCAAAATAACAGGATGATGATGTTTTACTTGTGTTAGGGAGTGGTGATGGAATCTCAAGGAACAGAGTCGAATGGAAACGTGTTCACACTTGTGGAAGCCATAACTGATGCTGGGAAGAATGATGAGGAGCTTGCAGGCGATGAAGACGGTGAACGATCTGTCGCCTCTGTGGAGGACCAACTTCGTAAGGAGATGACGATATACGAGGTATTTAAGATGAGAAAAAAAAAGGGAGAAGCTTTCGCATCTGTATTGTTTGGATCCAGGTGTAAGCTTAACCCTCTTTTGTCGAATGCAGAAATTCATAATGGGGATGCTGACGAATTTCGGAAGCATGGCGTTAGAACGAATGCATAACACACTTAAGGTTACTCCAAATTTTCCCGATTAACCTCCGCTCTCGTTTTGTGTGGTCGGGGCTTTTGAGAATTGGACATTGAGTCGTTGATATGATGATGATGATGATGATGATGATGTGTTTACAGATGTTCTGTGTAGCTGATCCTTCGTATGACAAGTCGCTGCAACAGCTTCAGAGCTTCCTGTCTGGTTTGGTTGCTGAAGAGAAACTCGAGTTCAGAGACGGAATGTATTTTCTCAAGAAATAAAACTCTAATGTAATAAACCCTCTGTTCCTCACCATTTCCTCACACTAACAGTTGTATCACTATGCAAAAGGGTGGCAAAATATTCAATCTTTTTTGGTGAAATCGATAGACGATATCGTGGCTTTTGTGTTGGCCTGATACAGTCCAAAACCATATATACCCATACGTGTATATGGATTGGTATATATATATATATATATACATACATATATATAAACCAGAGACTGGGTCTAGTGTAGAGTAGATTTGGTTATTAGAGAGAGATACCAATAACTGACTGTAAGTATATATAAAGTAGCAGTGTAACTAACTAGTGACGAGAGAGGGAAGTAGCGGAAGTGATGATAATAAGAATGAACAGAAGGAAAGCGGAGAAGGAACCGATGAGGGAACCAGAAATGCGTTGGCAGAAGGCATTGAACTGAGGGCAGATGGGCGGCCAGTTCGCGCTCTTGTTCCCTTCGTGAGCTAAGTACACAGTCGCTGTTGCCGCCGATGCTCCTGCACTCACGAGTCCCATCATCCCCTGCAAACAAAAAAGGTATATACGTACATACGTATATGCTTTTATACTAATCTATCCATCTTTATAAATATGTAAATACCGTATCGAAGACGAGCAAGATGAACCTGGAGGTTTTGGATTTGGTGCGGATAATATGGTAGATACTGACAGGAAGAGAGAGCACCAAATATGCACCAGCTATCGAGTTTGCCACCACGAAAAACCTGTCCACAAATCCCCCAAAAAAAAAAACAACACAAGACCGATTGTCAGATGGATTGTGACCAGTTAGTTAGTTATTCGATGCACAGAGTAAAGGATTGTTTTGGCTTTACGTGAGGGTGGGAAGGTCGGTGTATTTAGCCTTGAGGAGGACAAACTGTGCTAACGACGGGACTGATTCTTGGGTCGTTCCCATTGCGAGCGCACTCCCAATGGTTCCAAACACGGCAATGAACCTCAGACCGAATTCTAGAATGGATATCCCTTTGTTTATGACTAGTCTCGTTTGCAGAGTTACAGTCTTGCTGGATGTGGAAGAAGACTCGCCAGCCTCGAGCTGTTTTTCTTCGTTCATTCTCGTTGTTTTCTTCTCAGTTCTCGAACTGGGAGAGGACGTTACATTAGGACCTGCATTTATAGAAGAAACCTGAAAACAAGATACACCTTCGAGGTGGTCAAGACACTTAATGAGTTGAACTCAGGAAAGAAGGGATGAGTCTCTTACGGAAGCGATGTCAGCAAATTTCGGAAAGCATGTAATGTTAAGCATATGAAGACGGAGAATTTAGGTGATGCCACGTGTCGGTGAGCCATTGGTCTGCTGAGTGCAGGCAGTGAGCAAAGCTTCTGTAATCTTGTGTTTATCCTTCCTCTATCTCTCTCTACCTACTCTGATTTGTAAAAGTCCAACAACTTAAAACAAACGAAAACATCACATTTGGCAATATATGCACGTCCGTTATATGTACGAGTATTTAACATATTGGAATTTGAGTTGGAGCTTTAAACACCCAAATGCGTCCCTCGTTCATAAAATATTGGATTTCCACAAAACAAGTGATCACTGGAATGTTCAAATCATCCAGTAAGCAATTATGTCCATGCCTTGACAGTTGATATTATCAATATATATATATATATATATATATAACTAGGAAAAAAAAACAAGAAGATTGGGAGTTGGGAACTGATTAAAAAAACATGAGCAAATCTCCAATACAACACCAAGCTCTTCACCAGAACAAAAATCAAGCTTATTCTCGCAGGAGAGACAAAAATTCCAAACTGGTTCAGTAATCAAATGATGTCATCTCCATTATTCCCACCTCTCAATATCAGCAAAGTTAAAACGAAAAAGCGAAAATAGTGGTTAGAACGAAGCTACGAATTTCATCGACAATGTCACAAGCAATTCTCAGGTTGAATCACCACAAATCAAGTACAAAGGTTACCTACTTGATAATTGATTCTGGAATCCATTCTCTTGCTAGCAGCTGAAGAACCTCCCTTTCTTTAAAGAGTAATCCCCGACCTGCCAAGCCTCACTGAAAAGAGAAGAGTCAAAGCCTAGTGGATTCAAGAGAGAAAACGCAAGCTGGTATTTGTCTTTCCTACACAATCCGGCCGAAAAAGCCAGGAGCTCAGGTGCTGTAAAGCTGAAGTGATCACACACTACTAATCAACACCAAAAAACTGATGACACGAGAGTACTAAATAGAGAACTTGCTGAATTAGTAAAAGAGAATGAACAAACAGCAAAACTCTATAACCACGAAGAGGGACATAAAGAACTCCTGAACATTCAAAAAGTACACAAAAGAAAAACAAAAGCCACCCTCGTGAAAGACATGAAAGGTTATCACAACAAAACCAGTATTACGAATTTGGGAAGACACAAACAATAATAGAACGTGAATGCTTGAGAGGTAGGTTTGGTTGTTGCATCATCAGAAACAGAGTACCGAGCAAAGATTGAAAAAGTTCCTGGTTCAAGCTTCTGAAACTTTGATGACCTAATCTTCTTGCATCCAAAATGGCCTCAGTGGCAAATATAAGATTGGCTTCCGGACTATGTAACAAGAAGCTGTTTAAAGAAAACAGATGGAGGATAACCCGGGAAAAGTGCGCATCAGTACAGAGCAATTACAATAATGATATACTTCTTGGTAAACTTGGTTAAACATTAAACAAAATTACCTTTGTCATGGTTTACCGCTCTCTTCTCTGGGAATTTGAGTTCTGAAGTTAACATCAAAAAGAGATAATAAGAGATGGAATTAACTGGCCATTAGAGCAATCATTGTACAGATCTGAATCATCATGCAACTGCCTATTGTAGTCCCAAAGTTGTAGAAATTTCAAATTTACAGATGAATCTTGTGGATCAGCATACCAGTTGACTACCGTTTCTGTCACTCGTAGGCGGTTGACTTGAAGGACGGGAGTGAACACGTTTTCCATGCTTGGGCTTATTGAAAGTCTCAGTAGATGGGGAGATGTAAGGAAAGAATGATGGAAGCAAAACAAGTGCCCGATCCATCTCAAACACATTGGCCCTCAGTCGCAAAATTATTTGCGAAAGAGCCTTTACAGCAACATCAACACTTCCGGTTATCTGATCATCAGAAAGAAATGGATTGAATCGCATGGGAACTACTCACGGGAGCATAGATGAAGAGTCCAAAATATTCTCAAATGCTGATTAAGTGTCCCAAAATGCACACGTAAACATACTATTTTACCTGAACCATCTCCTCATCTTCATGTGCAGCCTTTGGTAGGTCTTCCTTTTGACCGATACGAATATTGGCTTTCGTCACGCTCCTCATCTCAGATATAATAGCTCCGCCTTTTCCAATAAGACATCCTATTTGTGAACTCGGTACAAGTAGACGTGTCACGATTGAAGAATCACCGGAATCCTTCCCCACTCTCTCACTGCATCGCAGTTGTAGGTGTAATGCTGCAGTCACTGTTGGAGATTGATCTTCGAAGAACTATACAGCAGATGGTTCAACATTTTCACGTGAAAAGAATAAGAATACATTGTAATTCTACAACTAATCCAAAAAAGATCAACAGAGACATAGAAAATAAGTCATTATGCTTACCTCGTTCGATGCTACGAAAATTAAACAATCTTCTTCATTATTTCCTGACGTATTAACTCTAATGCTCGCACCAGATTCTCTTCTAAGCTGATTTATAAACCCACCACCTTTTCCTATAACACCTCCGATATTTCCAGCCGGACAGATGAAGCAAACAGAAAATTCCCTTGCATAAGCTGCACCTTTATGGGCAGAGTAATTTCTGTGAGAGCTTGTCAGCGCTCCACCCATTACCATTCCCCCGGGTTGATGCATGTTACTTGAAGAAGACAGAAGGGAGAGCTGAAATCGTGACGGATTATCATGAATCCGTGAAGCAACTTGATAAAGGGCATCTCGAACAACCAGCGGCTCTCCAATTATCTGAAAATCAACCAGCATCATATGTGAAAACTCAGAAGCAGTACTATATTGATTATAATTGTTTGCTTGAGAAATTTGTGCTTGTAACTGCACTAGAAGACTTGTTAGTACATCACCTGAAGAAGGTCGTCATGGCTCAAAGCACAAGCAGGCAAGTTATCTTTTATGACACGAATTTGAGCACCGGTTTCACTACGCAAGTTCTCGATCACTTGCCCACCTTTCCCAATAATGCATCCAATCTGATCTGATGGCACAAGCATTCTGACAGTAATCATCTCATTCTCGCCCAGATTGTTGTCCGCATCCAGCTCTTCTGCCACAATCCTCTCATGCAACTTGAAGAGGGCATCGAAAGCAGGTGAGACAAGCTCTCCATCATCACCAAAAGGATTTGTTTCCTCCCTAGAAGAATATATGGTAACAACACGCTCCTCACAACCTGGAAAAGCCTCATCGATCCTCACGTTTGATTTGGTCTCAGACCTTATCTGCTTCACGATCTCACCACCCTTCCCAATTATGCTCCCCACCTTTTTGACGGGGCACAAGTAACGATACACTGTGTCTTCATGACCGATACCTTTCTGATCTGTATCATCATGGAGATTTCTTCTTTTACTTCCCCCATTACCGGTATCGTCAAAATGGAAATTAGACCTCTTACCATGAATGTTCCTTAGGCCAGCCATTATGGTAGTAACAAAGTGAAGCAAAATCTAGAATCCCAAGGCCACATCAACCTGGAGAGAACATGTAAATTGCAAGTCAAACCTTGATACTCCAACAGCTGTATATACTAAAAGTGCCTAATCAAACAAACCTTCTCCGCGAAAAAAACTTCTAATCTCACACCGACAAACACCAAATCTCAAACATAAACAGCTGGATTCCTACGGTCAACCATGTAAACATCACATAAAACCTTCTGAGAAGAAACTGCATTAACCCTAAATCTCCCCCAACGAACATCAATACGAAAACTCAGCACGAAATCATCGACAAATCACGCAACCGATCGATCAAAACAATCCACAAACCGAACAACAAACAGTTAGACTTCTAAAATTTAAACTACAGAAACTGGATTCCACAACATTTTCCGAAGGGAAAATCGAAGCAGGGAAACTAACCGGAGAATTCGCCGCCGATGATCGAGATTTCCTCCGTCCCGTCGTGTAACCGCCTCTCCTTGTGCTTATATGGTGTTTTAGTTTATGAATACAGAGCTTGGGGGTAACACGTATAAATATCCCAACGGTGGTGACAGGTGGACTTGGACTTTTTTTTTTTTGCTACTTCTCGGATCGTGACGGCACGTCGGGGGATATTCACGGAAATTCCGTACAAATCAGCATCTACGATTATCAATAATCAAACATTAAATAATAAACGTATTCTAGAGAATTGTCTAAAACATGGAAATTGCACAAATTATTTTATAATAATCTGTAAATTGGTTGCATTCCCTAATCACCATTTGACCGATTGATCCATCATACTTGTGATTAATCACCGCCTAAGTATACTTAACTTAATTAATGCAAATTAATGAACACGGAGAGGCACATTCATACAAATGTTTTGTTATTTATTTACTGTCACGGCAGAGTGAGTTTTTTCTGTGTTACTGAAACTGAGAGTACCAAGATGATGATACGATGTTACCTCCCTTCGCCGCCGCCGTTCCTCCGGCCGCCGGGCCGTTACGCCGCCGTGAAGGCTAGATTCTCCGGCAGAGATACGACAGACTCCGGGCTTCTATTCCGGGAGAAGCTTCTCTATCTCCAGGACCTCAACGTGGATCCCCACAAGGCTCTCCGTCTCAACCCTTCCCTCCGCTCCGTCCCTCTCTCCTCCGTCGTCTCCGTCGAGACCGTCCTCTCCTCTTTCGGCCTCTCCCGACCGGCCGTCGGTCGGATTCTCGACATGTTCCCCGACCTCCTGACCTCCGACCCTGAGGTTGTCATCTTGCCGGTCATCCGCTTCCTCGCCGATGAGATCTCCATTTCACGATTCGAGATCCCGAAATCGATCTCCCGGTGTCCTCGCTTGCTCGTATCCTCCGTCGATTTCCAGCTCCGTCCGGCACTAGCGTTCCTCCAGAGCCTAGGGTTCGTCGGGCGCGATGCGATTACCTCGCGGACCACGGTTTTGCTAGTATCCAGTGTGGAACGAACCCTAATTCCCAAACTCGAGTTCATCGAGAGCTTAGGGTTTACACGCGAAGAAGTGGCGAAGATGGCGGTGAGGTCACCGGCGATACTGACTTACAGTGTGCACAACAATCTAGCCCCAAAGGTGAAGTTTTTCATGGAGGAGATGAGCGGTAACGTGGAGGAGATAAAGCGGTTTCCGCAGTACTTCTCGTTTAGCTTAGAGAAGAAGATAAAGCCGCGGCATCGGCTGCTTAAGGAGCACGGAATTCTGATGCCATTGTCGGAGATGTTGAAGGTCAGTGACGGAGAATTCAACACATGGCTTCTAGAAATGCGTCTGAATTCTGTTAAAAGAAGGAGCTTGTAACATGTAAGCTTTTTTTTCTTTTTCTTTCCAGCTCTCTACTTCTGAAGTGTATATTAAGCTTGCAATCTGTCTTGAAACAATGTGGTTGCTTAGTGATAGTGATCCTGAAATGGAAATGGATATGTTTCATGTCCTTTGATGGTGTAATAACACAGATGTGCAGCTTTTTCTTACAAATCAGATTCAAGATGCTTATGCTCCATATGATGTGTGAGTAAAGCTCACCGCTAACATGATATAGTGATACAGATATTGATATATTATGATGTAAGAGTCAATTAGGAACAATCAGAAGTGGCTCTTACCCTCTGGTCCTCTGGTAGAGAGAGTTTTGTTTCAAGAGCATATAGAACTCAGTTGCAGAAGGCCGAGGAGACTGAGCTGGCTATTCTCGTCGTCCCCGACATGGGAGATTGGCGATGTTATGGTATAAAAAGGGAGGCTATTGGACAGCTTTAAACTGCATATTGATAAGCAAATTTACAGCATCCCTAAATATGTGTAGTTTTAAACCAAAAAAAAAATATGTGTAGTTGGAAATGGTGCATGGAGAATGAAAATGGATTTATGGGACATTTTCTGTTTCATAAATTTTTGTAGGTAGCCTGTAAAGTACTTTACTTTGATCATCTATACTAACTTCTGTGCTTCCACCTTAGTTGATCATCTATACATGCATGTTTATTTTGACCTATAATGCTCAGCATCGACGTATATCCAGCTTTCTTTGATTAACCCAAAGATCACAGATAGCTTCAGAGATTTTGGAAAATGGTGTTTGTTTTTTTTTTCCCCCATGTTTTATCATCAAGTTTCAATTTTCAATCATGTTGCTAGTTCTGCTTAGGACTTTGTCTGCTTGTTCTGAGTTTTGACTTCTACCCCTATGGCTAATATCATAAAGGGTCTTATTTTCTTTTACTAGTTTGTTTCATCCACTCATAATTCAGTTGGACCAACAAAAATTGGAAGAGGAAAAGCAGAACCATGACTTTAAGGGACAGATATAATTATACTAAGGATCATTATTACCCAACAAAAAATAGCATTATGATCTCTAACCATGCGCACTTCAGCTCCAAGCTCTTGATTATCCTCTTGCCGACCCGCTTCTGCATCATCCTGTCTACCAGTAACGGCTAAAGGGACCTCACATCATTACCTTTGGTGCATAATCTCTGCCATTAAATCAAACCCTTCCCTTGATTTCTTCAGACATACAGTTCAGGTTTTCAGGTTCTAATCAGACATGTCTCCGGTCCCGTGTCTCTTCATCATCTCCATGCTCATCCATCTGTCTGAAGGTAAAGTAGATATTTTTTACTTTGTCTGAAAGGATTAACCTTTTTGTTGATGAGAACTGTTGTGGGTTTTCAGGAACAATGCAGTTGCCTTACATGACAGAAGACGTGGAAGAAATCTCTGGCAAGTCGTTTGATTATATAGTGATCGGGGGAGGAACCGCTGGATGTCCCTTGGCCGCGACTCTGTCTGAAAATTTCTCTGTTCTGGTCATCGAACGTGGCGGTTCCCCATTCGGTAATCCATTGGTAGAAGACAGGAAATACTTTGGATACTCATTGTTGAAAACCGATGAATACTCGTCCGTCGCCCAAGATTTCACCTCCAGAGATGGAATCACGAATTACAGAGGACGTGTTCTTGGAGGATCCTCTGCCATCAATGGCGGATTCTACAGTAGAGCGAGCGAAGACTTTGTAAAGAAAGCTGGGTGGGACAAGGATTTGGTTCAGGAATCATACCAATGGGTCGAATCCAAAGTTGTCTTCATGCCGGAATTGACTCAGTGGCAATCCGTTGTTCAATTCGGATTTCTCGAAGCCGGGTTTTACCCGTACAATGGGTATAACTTGGAGCACATGCAAGGAACGAAGATCGGGGGAAGCATATACGATCAGTGCGGCAAAAGACACACCTCAGCCGATCTTTTGGCTGCAGGAAAGACTGGTAACATCACAGTTCTTCTAAATGCCACAATGAAGAGCATAATCTTCGACGGTAAACTCCAACAGACACCATGAACTCTCAGAGAATGGTCTGAATCTGCATCTTGTATTAACCCAGAATGTCTTTTCTGTTACCTTGCAGGTAAAGAAAATGAGACCCGAGTAGCTGGAGTAAGGTTTATAAAGAGTGATGGAAGCTCGGACAAGACATACAAGGCTTTCGTCGAGAAACACAAGGGCGAGGTTATACTCTCGGCCGGGGCATTAGGCAGTCCACAGATTCTGCTCCTTAGCGGAATTGGCCCCCAGAAACACCTGAAGAATCTCGACATCAGTGTGAATGTAAACCTCAGCGAAGTTGGGAGGAAAATGTCGGATAATCCAGCGATTTCCCTCCTCGTCGATAGATTCCCGCAGAACAGAACCCTCGAGCCGCCTCAAGTAGCTGCAATAGCAGAAGGGTTCAAGTTCATCCTCGAATCCGAGATCCTCCCGACCAACTTAAGCACGGCGAGAATCTCCATAGCGGCAAAGGTCGCGTTTCCCAAATCCAAAGGGAGACTCAAGCTGGAAAACACGGACCCGAGGAAGAACCCGTCAGTGAAATTCAATTACTTGGAGAGCAAGAAAGACATGGACGCATGCCTAGAGATGGTGCTGCTTCTGCAACACGTGGCGAGGTCAGAAACCGTGACTTACTTCCTGGGGACAGTGTCGCAGGAGAAGGTGATGACAGGGGAGGATGAACTGAGAAGCTTCTGCAAAGAAAATGTCAGAACTTATTACCATTACCATGGCGGTTGCGTGGTGGGATCGGTCGTGGACGAGGATTATAGGGTTTATGGTGTGAAGAATTTGAGGGTAATCGATGGATCGACCTTTGAAGAATCTCCAGGAACAAATCCAATGGCTACTGCTATGATGTTGGGGAGGTACCAAGGAATCAAAATTCTCAGACAAAGAAGACAATGGAAAACAGAAGAACAACCTTAGACATACATACATATATATATATATATATATATATATATATATATATATATAAACTTTGTAAAAACGTTTCTCGAGTGGACCACAAATGAAAGATCATTATGTTCTTGTTCAAAATTGTAACTTTTGATTATTTTGTAGCCAGATTTCAAAATTGCAACTTTCATTGAACTTATGAAGAAATAAATGGAAAGAAAAAACCCAATTTACAAATTTCAATTCTTCCCCTATGCAAAGCATAAAAAAAAAACCTAAAAAAAAAAGCCTGATTTTTTCCTCCCAACTAAACCTCTGTTTCGTTCATAGGCTCTGAATCAGCTTCGGATTCTCCTCCGCTCGCTGTTTCGCTTCTTCTTCCACCGCCATTAATGGCCATTCCGAACATAATATCTACTTCCTCCACCAATTCATCTTCCACGGGCATCTCATATCTACAAAGAGGACAAGTCCCATGAATCCCCAACCACTCTACCACACACTTCGAATGAAACCTGTGCTTACACGGCATCTCCGCCGCCACTTCACCTCCAGACCAGTCCTCCAGGCATATCACACAACTCCCCCCTTCCTCTTCCTTGATCTCGACACGTGGCATCCCCTCCACCGCCGATTTTGACGCCGGCGGTCTCCCCTGTTTTCCCGGCACGCCGCCGTTTAGGAAGGTTTGGGTCCCAGGACCGAACTCGAACAGGATCGCTATGTCTTCATCCAGTTCGATTTGGCGTAACTGAAGCTGGAAAGGCAACGAAATCTCAGACGAATCTCTATCCGACGACATCTCACGAACACCGGCAAGATTAAGAACCAAACTTTCTCGGGAAAAGTGAGAACTTCACGAGATTTCCAGGAAAAGAGTTCAACTTTCTCGGGAAAATCTAAGGAACCTTGAATGGCGATGAAGAAATTTGGAGACAGGAGGAAGAAGCAGAGCCTCTGAGACTTAAATAAAAGGATTTCCTGTAACAATTAGGAAAAGGTCATGGAAAAGGAAACATCTATAACTTTCCTCTTCCAGATGCGTGGATTTCCGTGTTACATTCTATTTTTTTTTCTGTTTCTATCTATTTGTTATTGCTCAACACTTATCCTTTCCAAAAGAAAGATATTACAAGTTTCTCATTAGCAAATAAGAAGTAGATAGAACAAATTCGAATTGAATAATAATCCTAATTCCACATTTCTAATCAAAGCCAAATTAAATAAAAAATAGTATTTTTTTTAGAAAATAAAAATTTGTATCACCGAAAATCACCTTAAGGGAAAGTGTGTCCAACCGAATATGATATGCAGTCTGAATATTTTCAACAAATCTAAAAGTATATATTTTTTTTGTAAAACAAATCACAAATATAATTCACGTGGTATACAATGATTTAACCGATAGATAGATATTCTTCTAATTTAATTCAACGTGTGTTATTATATGGATTCTTCAAGATAAACTCTACATTGTTAGGGGCTAATATGATTTATAATCTAACCAGATACGTCCAAAGGCTGATCCGACCTCATGGTCAAATGTCACATTCCAAAACACGCATTCACAGTTTACATTTTTGTGTTGAACCGCAATCCCACTAGAGACTGGCTTGTGGCTTGGGGAATCTAAGTAAATCCTAATTGTCCATTTTGTGATGAGTATGCGGAATCACGAAACCATCTTCTTTTTGAATGTGATTACACGCGTGCGGTATGGTTGCGAATTTGTCGACGACTTAAGATGTTCCAAGCTCCTTTTCGATGGGATGATGTCTTGTCTTGGTTGAATGCCGGATGGGACAATAGAGCCTCTAGACATATTGCTCTTCTTCCTTGGCAATCTGTGATTTATACCATTTGGGCGGAACGCAACATACGAATCCACTCTTCCATTTACTCGGATGTGGATACTATATTTCAAGTCTACGACAATACACTTCATCGTATAGGAGCCACTTTCCGGGATACCAAGCCGAATCTTGCGTAGGAACTACTACAACGATGGTTTGGGTAACTATGAAATTGGTTTAGATTTTGATTCTTGATATCTCTACTAATTTTGGCATCTTTTTCTTCGGTTTGATAGCATTTTAGATCGAGAAGATATAGGGCACAAAATCTTTTTTGGTTATTTTGGCTTTTTTCGCTTTTGAATAAGCGGAAAAATCTACATGTATAGTTTTGAAAGTTAATGAAATACCAACCTTTGACAAAAAAAAATAAAAAATAGGGAGAACGGTAGGGGTGTCAATCGGGTTCGAGTCCGCACTCGATTTGAGTTTTTCGAGTTCGGATCGATAATATTTTTTTTTCAGATCTAAGTAATCAAATCTGAAAATCCACCCGTATAAACTTCTCACTTAGATGCCGGATGGATCGAACGCTAAATTTATTCTTTACATTTTTTTATTTATTATTATTTTTTTGAAATAAAATTTAGATTATTGAACTGCGTCAAACTCCGACCTGAAAATCTAAAAATTTTTAAACCGAAATATTTAATCCCAAAATCTGCTATTTTTCAGGTTGGATGGAGACAAGTTTTGGGGTATGGACCAAAATTGACACCTTAGAGAACGGTACATTAATTCACAAACTGTTTATTAAAGTAGAGAAAGATACATTACAAAATAATTATTTTTAACAAATATATTTTTTTTATATTAGCCGAAACCCATCGTAACAGTTACATATTATTGTTATAAACAGTCTATGAAGAGTTTCGGTTTATATAAAACTAGATATTTATCCCACGCGAATCGCGCGGACTATAAATACAATTAAATTTTAAATATTTTATTATTAATTATAAAGTTAAATATATTATATATATTGTGTTTTTAAATTTATATTTTATATCTTTAAATGAAAATGATACATAATTTTAAAAATATCGGATATTTTTTTTTTCAAAAAGTGATTGTGAATAACGTTTATATTTATATTTTCGTACGTTATAATATAAAATTAAGAGTTAGATATAAGTGTATTATTTTCTTATAAACTAAGATGTTGTCATCTTTATACTTTTTTTCTTAAAATATTAAACTAAGATTATTTCATATTTACTATATATTATCATAATAATAATAATAATAATAATAATTCAATAATCCATATAAAAATAATCCAGTTCTTAACTTAAACAAATCTGAGTTGGAGTCTCATTTAGTTGAATCTTTCATTTAGTTTGACCTATATTTTATTAAATTTGTTTCTTGTTGTTTTTCTCATCTCAGTTTGATTTATTTGATTCTAAGATCTTCGATTATACGATCAATGAATTAAATTAATTTTTTATTTTTAAAAAATCTATCATAATTTCGTAAACCATCCATGATAGGAATTAAAGTTTCAAATAAAACGATACTTATAAAACTCAGATAGACACTATTGTATACTCATTCCTGATGACTTTTCATTTGGATTATATACTTCAAACCCGATTAGATAAATCTCTGGAAAAATCTTCAAAATAAAAATCTTGTGACTTCTAAGGGATTCTTACTCAATCAAACTGATATTTCACATTACATTACATTAAAACCTTAATAGTTGTTACGATTATTATTAGACCCATTTTAAATTTATAAGAGTAAACGTAAATATTAGTAGAAAATCTATTTATCATATTTTGATGATATTTGTCAAAAATAAAATATTAATAGTCATAGTAAATTTTATGTATTCATTTCATATTTTAAAATTGATATATTTTTTCTGTTAGTATTAGGATATTTTGTAGATTTTTTTCGTTAAGAAAAAAAGATTTTGATTCTACAAATAATAAATAACAAAAAAAACCTATATTATTGATATTACATTAGACTAAAATAACTATTTTGAAAATAATGTTATTTATTTTTAGTGGAATATATTAATTTGTTAATCAACAGGAGAAAAATAAAATGAAATGGATAAATATATTTAGATATTAATATCAATTATAAAGTCGAATAAACTTAATTTTTTAGTCATTTTTTTGAATTTTTTATAAGTTTAAGTTAATATTTAATATGTCAAGATAATATAAATTTTATAGATGTCTATTTCAATAATTCAAATTAATAAATATAAAACTACTCGTATGACTCTTTAATTTTATCGCATTATAGTTTAAGTCATTATATTATTATTTTTTTACAAACTAATATTATATCATATTTGTGTGTGGTATATATATTTTATCACAATAATATTGGTTTAAGAACTCATATAAAATTAATTCACTTCTAATTTTAATATATATAAGTTGAAAACTTGTTTCTACATGTATTTTATTAAATTTACTTTTTATTGTTTTTATCATCCCATTATTTATTTTACATAACCATTCGAGGTTCGTCTTGAACTCTTCGTTTATATGATAAAAGAGTTGACTTAGTTTCTTATACGTGACACATATATTATCGTCTTGTAAACCATCAATTATAAGAGTCAGAATCTCTAATAAAGTGATACTTACCAGATCCATATTCTAGCAGTTCGGTTCGGTTATTTGTTTAATAACCGAATGGTTGAGAAAGTTCAATAACCGTTTGGGTTTGGTTTGTTTCGGTTAATAACCGGAATAATTGCGGTTAACCGAACGATTATTAGAGTTTTTTTTAATATTTTAACTTTTATCTTAATTATTTTTAGTGTTATTCTTTACATTTAACTTTTACCTTCATGCGTTTCTTAATCATATATAGAATTTAATAAGGAAAAAAATCTCACAGATGTAAATATATTTTTTTCAACAATATTTATTTTATATTATACTCAAATTTCAATCATGAAAATAATGGAAATGAACTTTAGTAATTTGAATAAATCATTATAGTTATGTATAATTTAATCCACAAAATCGAATTATGTTATCAACAAAAAAAATACATTGAGAGTAAAATGAACAAAATCATGAATAACATAATAACGGTTCTGACAAAATATTTATACGGGCCTTTTTTTTATCCATATATCTTGTTGGACCTTTTGATAGTTTTTTATTGGCTTTTCCTATATTTTTGGAATTTCGCCTTTTTAGTTATATGGCATTCAAATAAAATAGTTATATGATTGTTTTCTAATTATTGTATATTTTTATTATTTATAACAGGTTCCCTTTTTTCTCCATTTTTATCTAACAAAGCGTGAAAAAAAAGGAAACTTATAATAAAGTTAGCTCAATCTCATTGAAAAAAAACCCAAACATGAAAAAGGAAAATAATATAAGAAAAAGGACACAAATAATAACAGAATACATATTATAAGAAAGGATAATATCAAGATTTCTATTCATTCGACCAAATAACGTGTAGATAGACAAAAGAGTTTAAATCTCACTAATAAACTACAGACTAATATATTTTGATAAAATATCAAAGATCTTTATATATCTCTAATAGATAATAATTTGCCTCACGTCAACTTGTTAAAGTTGAGATCAATCTCATAAGAAACGTTACGGTTCTACTTCTATCTGATTAAACAAACTCAATCATGAAAAAGGAAAATAATATAGGGATAATTAAAATCTGGATTAGGGTTTTCGATGGCTATATATAAGATTTCAGAAGCGACCCACAACCCCGTTTCAAAATTCTCTCGCATTCCAAACCCTGGTTACAGAGAGCCCGCAAGAACAAGCGATGGAACCGATGCTCTGCCTGGTCGGAAAGTTCTTCACCGCCTCATCTCCGCCGTCGATCGAGAAGACCGAGACATCACTCCGTCAACGTTGGGATCCCTCCGGAGACATGACCGTTTCTCCCATCGAGGACGACATCATATTGTTCAACTTCGAGTTAGAAGTCGACATGAAGAGTGTTCTTCGACATACATGGCACGTCGATGGCGTTACCTTGGTGCTCAAGCAGTGGCCTTCTCACCTCTCTTTATCCGACATCGATTTCTCTGTCTCCTGGTTCTCAGTCAAGGTCGAGGGCTTGCCATTGTGCCGTTACACCGACGAAGAATCCCGGAGAATCGGCGAGATTCTCAGCGATAAACCGCTCGGAAAAGTCTACTTGAATTCCTCGAAGCGGGATTTCTACGTTCGGGCAGAGATCGATCTGAAGAAGCCACTCAATCCCGGTTTCTTCCTCGACGACGATTCATTTGTTCAGTTCAAGTACAAGAACCTTGGAAGCTTCTGCAAAAGCTGCGGCATGATAGATCATGGATCATGCGGAGAAATCCCAAAGGAAAGGCCTTTAACTCGCGAGGTTAAGACGCGAGTGTACGGTCCGTGGATGAACGTCGCGTTTTCCCGCGTAGATTTGGCCGTTGAGTTTCCGGAGAAGATAAGCGAGAGAGAAGATGACGAGGAAACTGTTCCGTACGACCAGTTCTTCATCAAGCTCAAAGTCGAAGCCGTTTACGCGAACGAACACAAGTGGGGAGACAAGAAACTGGACCGTTCTCTTCCAGTCACTGATCAGGAATACCGTTTCAGATTCCCGTGTTCTTTTCTCGCGACAGCATTGGAATCCGACGATCAGTCGCAAGCCCTGATGACTTTGGCACGTGAGATCGACGAGAACGTGCCATTGATCGGGTTGAAATTCAATGACAAGATTGAAATCGTCAAGAGATTCGTGGAGTATTCAAAGGAGAACAAGAAGTCTTGGTCGGACCGAAGATGGGTCCCTCTCAGAATCTGCGCCAAGGACAGCATTGGAAGCCGACGATCAGTCGCAAGCCCTGATGACTTTGGCACGTGAGATCGACGAGAACGTGCCATTGATCGGGTTGAAATTCAATGACAAGATTGAAATCGTCAAGAGATTCGTGGAGTATTCAAAGGAGAACAAGAAGTCTTGGTCGGACCGAAGATGGGTCCCTCTCAGAATCTGCGCCAAGAAAACAGTCTGGCTCACGAGCGTGGATTTCCAGACGAAGCTTCAAGAACGCGAGGACGAAGAATTTCACCGGACAATCGAAGCCAAGATTGTAGAGATGATAAGAAGACGAGTCGAGAACAACGAGAATGTACTGTCGGTGCCGTTATGGAAGACTTCCATCCAAGATTTGATGTCCGAAATCGGCGTCAAGGAGACGGAGATTCCGTTCGATTTGGACAAAAGAGCGAAAAGGGCAAGAAGCGAAGCGATCAAACACGGCGTTAGATTCTTCAGCGGTCCGATCCCGGCGGAAGAAACGTCGGTCTGCAGACTGGAGAGAGTGAAGATCCTTGGAGAAGACATGGATGAACTGGAGCCATGCACGATCTGCCAAGAGGGGATGTTTCTTGGGGAGGAAGCAACGAGAATGCCTTGCTCTCATCTCTTTCACAGATCCTGCATCGAAGAATGGCTTCAGAAAGGGAACCAATGCCCTAATTGCCGTTTTCAGTTGCCCTCTCGTACAGAACGCGTTCCTCATCGCGATGCCATCTCTAAGAAATACCAAAGCCTTAAACGTCGTAATCTCTGATTCCAATCTTGATGTATTTTTTTTTTTGTTTAAATTTCTGGTCCAACTCTTGGTTTGGACTTGCCCTTGTATTATGTTACCTTGGTTTTATATATATAAGGAAAAGTTTCATTATATTATATGATTCCTTATACATAACAATATGGTAAAACTTAATATAAAAAAAAACAATATGGTAAATCTTTGTGCTCTTTCGTTTATTTTTTTTGTCTCAAAAACTTAAAACATAGAATGTATTAAATGGTCCAACTACTTCATAAACATGTAAAGAATCTTTAGAGGAAAAAAAATCGAAATCAAATAGAACCGATTAAAAAATAACCGGAAAATCGATTTTTAAAAAAATAAATTGGATTTTTTTACCAATAACAAAATGAATTCAAATCGAAATAAAACCAAATCGAACCAAATTGAATGAAATTGATATAAAAACTGAATAGTCACACTTTTTTTACAATCGAAATATATAACCGAATTGAACCCGAACAAAAACCCAAGATATTATAGTATGAATAAAATTATCATCCAATAATAGAATACAAAAACTATCCTTTTGAGTAAATATACATGTGGGTCATTTATATATTATTTGACATTGGCTTAAATAGTAAGCTTGATCGTCAAATATGACTACCTCCTCTCAAAATAAAAGCTAATCTTAAATATACTTATTCTTGATTTTAAAATAATACTGATAATTTCGTGAAATACAAACTCATTCACATATGGCGGTGGACCATTTTAATTGAAATGATAGAAACATCTTCTGGCCACTTCAATAATATCAAAGCAACCTTATTCTCTCTACACAGTTTTGAGCTCGTCTTTTCTTACCCAACATTTTATTAATTCTTTTACCATAAAGTTAGGGGTGGGCGAACGGTCGGTTACGGATTAATCGGTTGCGGTTATTTCGGGTTCGGTTATTTCGGGTTATTAAAACTCATAACCAAACGGTTAATTAATTTTATTCGGTTCGGTTCGGTTCGATTCGGTTTTGTCTATTTAAAACTATAACCAAATAAAGATTTGGTTCGGTTCGGTTTCGCTTCGGTTATAATATTTAAAAAATCAATTCATTTATAATTAAAAATATTCAAATAAAATATAATATAAAAAATTATCATAATTATTTTAACATATAAAATAATAATGTCTAAATTTATATTTTGATATAAAACTATTAAATAAATAAAGATAGTTTTTTTTCTAATGTTTATATCACACAAACTTTAAAAAAACAATAATAACAATGATAAATACGTTTAAAATATAATAAGACAATGATTAAATCAATAATATAAACATTCATATATGTATATAAATATATATAAATGAAGATATATAAACGGTTCGGTTCGGTTCGGTTCGGGTTCGGTTAATTCGGTTTATAAAAATTTATAAACAAACGGTTAATAATTTTTAATCGGTTCGGTTTGGTTCGGGTTTTAAAAAATCATAATCAAACGGTTATTTAATTTTATTTGGTTCGGTTCGGTTCGGGTATATATCGGTCAGTTCGGTTAATAACCGAAATACCCGAACCGAATGCCCACCCGTACCATAAACCCTTCTTTTTTCCTTTTTGGTTTCTTCCCCCAGCTAATCTTCGTTATTGCTTCTCCCGTCGTGCTTCTACGCCTTGCCTAAGATGGCGAAAGATTTGGTGATTCTTTCTCAGTTTTTCTTCCAGAAGAGTGATTTTCCCTCGCCTGCATCTGCCTCCGAAACAATGACTCGATCAAAAGCGGTCTCCACCTTTTCTATCTCATCATCTGACATCGTCTCTCCGATCAACGGAGATGATGACTCCATTAAGCTTCGATTCGAAGACTGGTCAAATTCTATGTTTAGGTTGTTGTTTCCTGAGTAACACTATCAACAAAACCAAATTACATAAAAAAAAAAACACTACCAGCAAAGTTATAAGCAAATTTTTTACAAAAAAAAAAGTTATAAACAAAATAATGAAAGTTTGGCATGCAAACACTAACCAATTTATAGGCAATTTTTTAAAAATTATATTTAATTGAAAGATAATAATAAATTATCATACTAATGGACTTTGATTAAAATTATTTAAATCTAATTAAAATTAATTGAATCTAACGTGTTTTGGTTACATGAATGTATTTTGATGAATGCAGAAAGAGAATTAGCATATAGAAAATTAATGGAGTATTGTTAAAATCAATAATGACTTTGATTTAATTAAAAAATTTAAATTAATTTAAAAAAATTAAAAATGACATGCGTCATATCCTGATTAAGTAAATTATACTTTTATATAGAAAGATATGATTATTATATATATAATAATGTATTTAGTTATTATAAATAAATAGTTTTAAATAAAAAAATAAAAAGAAGATATACCAATGATCTTTGGTAACATCAATAAAAATATATACAGACACAACAACACAAACTTGACTCCTTGGATTTTGTGACTAATGTATATATAATTAAACCAATTAAAATATGTATTTCTTCTTTTAAATTATATTTGATTCTTGAAAATCACATAATAAAAACCTTTCATATTCTTAACAAAAAGGGATACATGTCACACCATAACTACACAAACTGTACTTTTATATATATAGATAGATTCATTCATAGTGTACTACTACCTATTCAATTTGTATCTATATGTAAATTTGTTTATCGATAGAAAATTTTAAAAACGATAAATTATTGAGTTCTTTTTATATATATATATATATATATATATATATATATATATATATATATATATATAAAATTAAAAAACGATAAATGACTTAATATATATATAAAATTAAAAAACGATAAATGACTTAAAACAATAGTTTAAATTTGGAATTAAAGTAATGTTGATGTTGATGCTTATAATAATCTAGGATTTGCTAGGAATTGTCAACTCTTAATTCAAAAATTCAAAAATTTATTGACCAAATCCATAAGATATTATTATCTCCGGGCGTTATTTCCAAGAAAGTTCTTCAATTTCTTTGGTTAGATCGTTAACATAAGTCTCTCTTTTTTAATTTTATTTACCTTAAGGGGAGAAAAAAAATATAATCTTTTCTTTGTTGGGACGTGACAGAGTTGGTTTTGTTTGTTGCTCATAAGATGTTTGATTAAATCCTTCAGAGAAGATTTCTCCATTGGTGGATTGGATCCGCAGGCGGAATTTTCCGGCTTTCGATGCTTATCGAAGAGCGTTTCGCATGGCTTCTCTGAGTTCTTCTCTCTCTGCACTTCAGTTCACTGCTTCCGACATCTTCGGAACTCGTCCGAAACTCTCTTCCTTCGTTCAAATTCGAACAAGTAAGCAGCGATTTCGATAAAATGCCGATTCTTCCATGTCATTTTCCCTGTTTTGCATTGTTCTGTTTATCTGGGTTCTCGATTTCGATCCTGCATTAGGCACGTTCCTCAAGCCGTTTGTGGTTGAAGCAAGGGGCAATGCCCGAGTCTCGAGTCCAAAAATACGGAACAGGAGGATCCGGAAGAAGGTGACAGATTTCCTTAGATTATCCGTTCGTTTCAAATCACTGAAACGAATGATTTCTGCAATGTTTTCTCAGTTTCCTAGAATGTTGAGATTACCAGTTCGTTTCCAATCACTGCAAACGAATGATTTGTGCAATGTCATCTATCAGTTTCCTTGAATGTTGTGATTACCAGTTCGTTTCAAATCACTGAAACGATTGATTTCTGCAACGTTTTCTATCAGTTTCCTTGAATGTTGTGCTGAATTTTGTGTCAGTTCAACGGAACACCGATGAAACCAAGGCTTTCGGTTTTCTGTTCGGACAAGCAATTGTATGCGATGTTGGTTGATGACCAGAACAAGAAGTGTCTGTTCTACGGTAGCACTCTTCAGAAATCCATCCGTGGAGATCCTCCATGTTCCACCATTGTAAGTTTCAACTCTTT